GATATCCCCGTCATCTTCTTCATCAGAGTCACTAGGAAGGTGATCAACAAAAGGCACAGCCACAGAATTCACGTTTACCTGTCTACGAAATCTTTGGTGAAATATAGAGCCCCCTTCTGGACAAGGCGAGGCATAGACTCTCTGATGACATTCTCCATCACGTCCAATGCCGTTGATATTTCTCCAAGAGGGGAATCTTTGCCGCCCATTAAACGAATAGTTAATCTCCGGAGTGGGTAACTGTCATCCCCCAAAACTGAATCCAGATTTGCCCATGCCTCTTTACCAGCGGAGGAACGAAAGTGGGTGCCATGGCCATCGAGATAAAGTCGGATCGTTAGAGACTCCAGACGGGTCGGGACGTTAGGCGATGGTCTGAGTGCGTTTGTCCACCAGTCTAGGATAGGAAGTGGACTGACTTCCAATATATCAGGGAAATCTCCTAGGTACAAAGATATGGCACGTAGGTGAGATAGGGGAAGATCAAAGAGGGAAGGGGTGTGGCTATCGATGTATGTTAGTATGAACGAGGCTGAAACATGGACTAGCGTGTCGTTATCATGGTTGAGGTCTATGATTCTTTTCAGAAGCGAAAGGTTCTCTACGCTTAAATGGACATAATGGTCGCCGTCGTATTGCATGTGTATGGTGAGATGCTCAAGCCTGTCGATACGCACGGGTGGAGTAGGGTAGGTAAGAATCGTGTCCAGTAGCCGTCGGGAACCACGCGTACATGTAATAACTAGATGTCGGAGGGAGGATACGGCGGAAGGGTCATTGTCTTCACACATGGAGACGTCGGTTTGGCTATTTGAAAGGATGAGATCGCCAGATATCGAAAACGTATGGAGTTGATGACAGTGGCGAAGAAACGAACATAATGCCTGAGTGTCATCCACCGTTAGGTCCACAAGTGCCAGGAACTTCAATTCGCATGAGCAAAGCATCGTGGTGAGTTCCTTTGAAAGATCGCGGAACGAGAGGTCGTGCAACGTGAGAGATTCAAGGTTAACTAGGGATTTCACGATGGGCGTTAAATGCTCATCTGCCGTGACACTCCAGCTTGAAAAATTCTGTAGCAACAGATGATTTACGCAAGAGGATATTTCTGGGGATTCCGCGCATATAACGTAAAATCGTCGGATGTGATCTGCGTTAGCGAAACTCACGGCAGAGAATATTTGCCTACGCGAAGGTGAAAGGAAGGAGCGGCAGGTAAGAGAACAGGCGAGTAGAGAGGGGGTGTCTCCTTCGAGTTCGCTGAGAATCACGTCGGTCAGCTCCTGGGGTAGAGGGAAGCCTGTCGATGTAGATACAGCCATTGAAATTTTGACTAAACCTAAGATTTCACTTAAGTCTGAAGTGAAACTGAAAAGCTGGAATGGCTTACCGACGGTGAAGCACCTAGGCGAGAGGAAATTTGAATGATTCTAAAAGAGTCGCGACGGGTCTTGGATGCCTTTTCGGTGTTCGTCAAAGCTGCGGTGACAGAATGTGTTTTCCCAACTGTGACACATGTCACGTGAGGTTACCATGAAATTGCCCTTGTTTTCTCATTTCTTTCGTTTTCCTTTCCTTTCCATGCTCTTTAGCACGTTTCGCGACGACAGCGCAGATCGAACATTGCCTGAAAATGGAAATTCGCGCCCAGATATTCTTGCCTTCCTTCGACCACGATGAACAACGACCGCGAGCGCGTCATTTTGCATGAGTGGCCTCGCGATCCTGATGGACCAACTCTTCCAGAACTACCACCTCAAGGCGTTCGTACACCAAACAATATGCCTTGGGGACATACACTGGATGATTTCTACTGGTTCGTAACCTGATTTTATCCCACGGTTCGCATTCCAGCGTATCTTAGGATTCATCCTTTCCCTGGCGCGAAGTCAAAGTTAATTTGGACACGAAGCATGCTGGATGAATTCGGCGAGAACTTTGGTGGACAGCCTGGAGTTCCACAAGTTGAACCGCGTCGCTTGAGACCGTGGCCACTGCTCAAGGTGCCGAATGACGACGCGTCTTTCGGGTTAGTGGACGAGACGTGCAATAGGGATCATTCGCTCAAGCCCCGACCTTTCCATGGTACGTTAACGTGACCATTTTTCAAATCGCCTTTAGTGACGCGTCTTTTAGCTGTCAAGAATACTGGTTTGTTGTGTAAACGCTTGTTCTCTATCGACGCTCATCCTTTTTGCAGAGCTTGAATCCACAGAGAACAAAATAGAATCGCCCCCGGAGCCGGCACTGATGAACGATGACGCACCTCCCGCAACCAAAGAATCCATCCTCGAAGGGGCTGTGAAGTCGCAGGACAGGCTGCTGGGTAAAAGAACTGTTTTCACATTGACATAAATCTGACGGCGAAAGCAGAAGATGATGGCAAGGACGATGAATCGGCCATGGCCAAAGGTGAATAGAGCTTGTTCCTGTGATTTTCCACGTCTAATTTTGGTGATAGTCTTCGTTCAGGTCGATGACAATATAACGGGTGGCGCAGTCTTAGAATTCAGCATAGAAGGAGAGACAGGAGACAGACAAAATTGTACAGGTCTGGTTCACAGCTTTCTGATCTGACCGAGATCTGACAATGAAAGCAGAGATCGACGTCCCCGAAAGTGAATAGATTGTTTTTGTCTTTTTCGTGTCTAACTTTGGTGATAGTTATCGTAGAAGACAGACACGATGTGGCAACAGGTAGTAAAGAAGTTCTCTACAACTATTGCTTCGGACCGCAATCTGATGATAAAAGCAGAAGACGACACCAAGAAGGATGAATCAGAAGGTTCCAAAGGTGACCAAAGTTTTTTCCCTCTTTGTCTGTGTCTAACTTAGATGATAGCTATTGTCGAAACTCACGACGACCTTACACCCGCGGAACGACAGGCAATGGAGGTCAGTAGCATGATTTTTTTCCCTTGGCGTTGAATAAAGATCAAAAATATAGTCCTTTATGACTACGAATTATGAGACGGTTCAAAAACTTGAGGAACGTATCCCCGAAGAATACTTTCCTGACATACTCCTCGTCAACGACCCTTCCGGCTTCACGATAAGTGACAATCCATTTCTTAGCCGTCCGTCGCGTACGCTGCCTGTACGCTATAAACGTGTTTGGCCGAAGCTGAAGCGCGATGGCGAGCCGGCCACGCTCTTTAACAATGACCTCCATTGCCCTTCGGCGTTCCACTGGACACTGACACAGACGGAGAGGTACGCTGCTAGTGAGTGTCGAAGAATCGCTACGCTCGACCTTTCGGGCGCACCACTTCTCGGCAAGGGCAGCCATTCTGCCGTCCGAAAGGCCGGAATACGACTTCCAGTACCTCTCACGACACAGACAGGTGACCAACACGTTTCCGTAGCTGTGAAACTGTCGTTTTCTCTTAGTGAAGATCGGGACTTCCTTGAAAATGAGGGACGAATCTACGACGCGTTCCCCGATCATCTGCAGGAGAGCTACTGCGGCTATAACTTGGTAGCCTCGATGGACCACCCTGTCCCCGTGGGTGCGTGTGTGCCCAGGTTCTTTGGGTATTATGTACCTGTTCAGGAGGAAGAAGAAGCTAAGCATAGGCGAGAAACGTTGAAGAGCATCAAGAAAGAGGTGGAAAGAAGACGGGAACGAGAGGTGAAGAGAGAAGCTAAGAAAATAGGCGTAGACGAGGCAGTGGAATCTACCGATGCGTATGGAAAATTAGCGGAAGAAGAAGAGGATGACTATAGTGGCGAGGATAATGACGATAACTTCTCCGACTATCCACCTCTACCAGTCGAAGAAATTTATTCCCCTATTCTCTTGGTCGAAGAGTGCGGGACACCTATCGAACCGGAACAATTCTCAGAAGATGAGAGGTATTCTAGCTTCATTTCTGTTGCTGCTTCTACTCCATTGCTGATGGCGCATCTCCAGATCTGAATGCTTCTCACTAGTGCTTCGCCTTCACCATGCAGGCTTTGTGCAGAACTCGCTGTATCCTCGCAACATTTTGCGACAGCCAGGTCCTCTTACCGTGCGACCGTCAGAGCGATCGTTGAAGACGCCGAGTTTCAGGATTATCGATTTTGGGAGAGGAGAGTTTGGGCCGTTGTTTGTGGAGAAGTGCCTTGCATCCGTGTGGGGTAGAATGGGACCACCGATGGTCTTGACGAGAGAAGAAATGGATAAGGTCAAAGAAGAGGCGGAGGTTGGGAAAGAGGAGGTGGTTCGTTGGCATAATAACAGTATCAGAGACGAATTGTGGAGAGCCGCGAGAGTCCTACACGTCAAGGATTATTAGTTATAGCTTGTAAAGTGTTTTGGTATTGTAAAATTGCTAAATTGAAATGACGTGTATCCAACCGTTAACATGGTACAAAGATGGATACATGGATGCGCCTTTCGAAAGAACAGTGAAGGAGGTGCAGGTGAAACTCTGGAAGAGCCGCCGTTCATTGATTTTAACTATATGTTTCCAAATGTCGTCGCAGGGTGCCCAACACTAGAAAGGTAACATTCGCATATGCTGTAAGGACTCCCTGGGGAATCGAACCCCTGCAAAACGACCGCGGGAGTGAGAAACAGGGAGGGAAGAAATAAAGAAATAAAATCAGAGAAATCCAGTCAACGCACAAGTCCAAGCAACGCCACAACCAAGAAAGTCCTAAGAAATCCAGTCCCCAAAAAGCCGTCGTCAAAAGAAAAATAGTCCATGAACCAAAGAAAAGAAACAGGAAAACGAAGTCCCAAGAAGTCCGATGAAGAGGAGAGTGAGGCACGATGATGACGAAAGCAAGAAGAAGACGAGTCCATATAAGGTCCAAAGCCGGTACAAGATAGAGCTGAGAAACAAAAAATGTCCACATGCAAGAGTAGCCGAAATGAAGGGAGAAAGAAATTAAAAATGTCTGTCCGAAAGCCAGTCCACGAAGTCCGAGAGAGATGAAACAAAGCACAGCAGAGAAAGCTAAAGAGGGAAAAAGGAATAGAAAATAATGCCAAAGCACCACGAGCAAGCCAATCATGAGGGTGTGCGATCAGGATGAGACATCACCGATCGAAGCGCACCAACAGTCGCACGAGCCCGAGTCATCATAGGCGGTTGCGGCTGCACTGTGAATTGTTGACCCGGGATGGGAGGAGAGCTTTGAAGGATTTTCGGAGACGCACAAGGAAGCTAAGATCAATTCCCAAACCTAGACCAATCGGCGGGGGGGTGAGGACGAGATATCGTTGAAATACCGGAAGATTGATCGACTTGCTTGACTTTTGAAGGAGCATTGACGAGTTCCGCGCCGGTGAGAAAGAACTTATCGATTTTGCTGACCTCGGTACGGAGTTCAGGAAGGGCGATGCGTTTCGAAGATGTGGAGCAGAACATGGTTGACGGAGGGTGTGATGGAGAATATTTTGAGGAAATAGTCGGGATCGCTTAGGAAATAATTGAAGTGTGGATCTGAAATCTTGGCGGCGGGCCAAGGATTTCGCCCTACCATCATACTGAGGAGGAGACCACCTAGGGCCCAGACATCGCTGGCCCTCGTCGAGTAGGTGGGCGATCTAAAATCTTCGCCTAGGCATTCTAATGAACAGATGAGATTAGGCTGGAAAAAAAGTCATCAGGAAGGAAGCTTACCAGGACTCTTGTACGGCAGAGTGCCTGCCCCGCGGAACTCGTAGTCATCTTCACACGTCACTAGACCAAAGTCAGCAAGGAATAGCTGCGTCCCGCCTTCAGAACAGAGAATATTCTTAGGCTTGATATCCCGATGTAATACTTTGATTGGTATGGTAATGCTGCGGGACATCAATGACCTGAAGGAAGACGTGCTTCACCAGTGAGCGGTTGCGACAAAATACCTTCTTTTCACAGAGACATCCCAACGTCGTCACGCACCGTCCTACATGGGTCGAGGAGGACTATGTCCCGTCTCCCGACATGAGACTGGCCCTTCATCGCGTCAGCGCACCGGTACTCTACCCTACATGGTGTTCGAACTCCTCATCAATGACGAAAATGGTCATCCACTGAAGCACATCTATCGATACGATGTAAAGTCCATCTTCTACGTCATTCTCCTCTGTTGTCGTTACGAGGTCGTGGCTAAACAAGATCTTGATGGACGCCCGATCCTGGAACGGACGCTAATCCATTCCCCATTCGACAGCTGGCATAAACTCGGCCGTGATGGTTTGAAGAACATAAAAATTGCTTTCTTCACGGGACATGATCATTCTCTCCTGTGGTAAGCAGCTGCTTCACGGACTTTCAGGCCTGGGTAAACCGGATTCGCCAGCAGTTCCTGCTGAGGTTCGATACTCAGAACCATCATAAGCTGTACAAGGACCTTGGAACCACGGGGTCCTTTGATGATGAAACTCTGCAGGCCTGTGTTTCTTCAGCCATCGTTGAGACCTGTAGTGGATTCGCTAGTTCGGCTCTCATAGTATATAATGACGAGCTCAAAGAGGGTGCCTAGTACTGGGTCGTAGGTGGGATGGGGCGAGAGAGAAGATGGATCAGTGGAGGATAAGGGCGGATACTCGCTGTAGGCCCTGGTATGACTAGGAACCTATGAGTAGTATGTCTTGAGGCGTGTATATGGAACACTGTGGTGGTAAATAAATTCTTAACATCCGTAGATCTGTACCAGTGAAATTTCCGGAAGCCCAGGATAAATTTACTGGACAGCATGAAATAACAGTTGTTAATCTAACAAGGAGTCCCCCGAGAACTTTACGGAGACACAGATCGAATGCTAATTAAGGACATGAACATTGAGGGGGGGTTCTTGAAGTCTTACCTAGAAGCATCAATTTCCTTATCAACAACTGAAATTGCCTGAGCAAGATCGATAGTAGGACAAAGAAGATCCAACACGGATCGATGCGCTAATCGGTCCTGTCGAGACCACGATGAGCGTCTCGTAATCTGGTTGGACCGAGAACCAAAGCACTTCTAAAAGTCAATTTGACAGGATGATAAGAACAGCTAGCAACCATACCCACCTGAAAGAGCTCAAAATCTTTGCTGAACAGCGTTTCTGACACACTGCTGTCGAAAATACTGAAGCTCCCTTCAGCGCCAACATTCGTGTCTAGTCCGGCATTGATGGGGGGGGCATCCACCCAAGCTGCTGATATCAGCGGACGCACTCGAGCCACCTGCAGCAACGGAGCTGAGGACTTTGGTTCCAACTTCCGAACTCTCAGAAGCTGAAACTGATCTTGCAAGCCGTGCAGCGTCAACGACGGGGGTTGGCTGGCCCTGCCTCCTGCGATAGCGTGCGGCATTCTGGATGTAAGATGGTATCAGTCGACGGGACATCGACAGAAGAACTCCCTGAGCCAAAGGCGGTGGATGTCGGTGCATCTTGAGAGGCGGAGACAGATGAGCTCGACGTGCCGTGCACCGAAGTCTGTGTGCTGTGCTCCAGGGCAGAACTGGTCTCAGCAGGCACAGAGGAACCAATTCGTATCCGGATACTGACATAGTAGTCGCCATCACCATTCCGTTTGTTGATCCATTATCCACCGTGATGTTGGTCTCGCCATCAAGCTCCAAAACAAACACGGCATTGACATCCAATTCAGGGAATACGTTGGCTGTGAGTGTATCACCCAGAGCAGATATGCCTAGGTTAAGGCGCGGGATTAGGTGTGCTTCAATCGTTCTCGAAGCGTTCGCAGCAGGCAATACTAAGAGCTTCAATGCTAAACGGAAGATGAGCAGAGAGATAGATCTAAAGGGAAAGACTTACGAGTATCAACGATATCAAAGGATCCACCACCTGCGTTGTCGCTCTTGTTAAGCGGGAAGACAAATTGGGCTTTGGAGATGTCGTAGACAACACCGACATTGAGACCGAGTGCGACGTCAAGCTTAGCGACGGTTTGAGCATCTATTTCAAATGTTGGTCCAATTACAAGGATGCTGGAGTTAGGCTCAGAGAAAAGACAAGCATACGAAGAGTCTGCTTACCCAAGGAAATCAAGTCCAGATATACCCACCTGCAAAAGAGGTATTTTCACAGAGTCCAAGGTTCCCTATACATAATATCAGGGAAGAGCCAGATAGACATAAAAACACTTACGGTAACATCGGCGAATAGATCAATAGCACCGTCCAAAGTGGCATCAAGATCTGCATAGACAAGTTAAAGAGATATCAAGTTTATGAGATCATAAACTTACTAGCCCGAATGGCGAAATCATTGATGTTGGGAGGAACAAGAGTTCCGCTGGCTCAGATACCCAGCACATGCGCCTTTGTGGCAACACTGATGTTTAGCTTGGCACCTATAGGTTGACATGATATACTCTCGTTCAGAAGATTGAAAGCCTGATCCACGTCGATGGGGACATCAAAGGTCTGATCAACATTAACGTCGTTGCCCAAAACACTGCCGAGGAATAGATCACGATGTCAGGAAGGTTTTCACGTAGCGAGGGGACATGGATGTACCATCAATAGCGTCCCAACAAAACTAGTGAAACCACGGCGTGACAGGCGACTGTGTCGCCGAGACCCGAATGAGATAGAGGAAAGATCAGAGCTCGCGATAAGCACATTGGCGCCTTGAAGAACAAAACTAATGGCCCCAGTCCTAACGCCAGACTTAGTAATGAAAACCGCCAATAGTATTGTTCCACTAGCTTCAACGAATCAACAGTAGAAAAATTTGTATCCAATGCCAGGGCCTTCATAGGAGGAGTGGTGCCAACACGGCGAAGTACAGGGCGACCAAACTGGATGGAAGATATGTTAGCCGAACAAACCAACGCACCAATATTGAACCAGTGAACGGGCCTTACCTGTACATGCAAAAGTTGCGCTGATGCTCGAAGATTCTACATTACCCACTTAGCTACAATTATGGAACAGTAGTAGAACTTACTAGAATACCTGTAGAGGTATATAAGTTCTGTAGTCGTACCACTAATAACAAGTTCTTCATCCCTCCATTCCTCTACTGCTGCTAATAAGATATCGGTCTTTAGGATCCCATGCTCTCGTGCAAACGCATTGTAGCCACACTAAATTGAAAGAGTCATTGAGTCAAGGGCGGATGGAGATATCAAACTGCTACCCACGCTTTCTGGTAAACGAACGACCTTTCCCACAGCGCCATCATTCTGGTAAAGATGATCACAGTCGGGCGAGCCGGTATCGTTATTAAAGCAGACGAGACGAATTTCCTGTGTAAGCGTGTCTGGGGTACAGTCGATAATTTCACAGCCAGCAGCAGGTGTGATGTCTGATAGTGCATTAGCAGACCCCCACTACACAGATTGTTATAAAGGAAGTTACGGCAGAAAGTATATACACACGATTTTCAATGATCCAGATGCCGTATCATGGGCGGGTAGGAAGTACTCGCAAGCTCCATTGAAACAAGGTTGGCTCCAGTCGTTTATTGCAAGAACTGTGACGAGAAGAAAGGATGTGAGGATAGAGAATGAAATAGGCCTCATTCTGAACGTAAATGGAAATCAATCCAGCCAATCGGGACGGACGAACGAACAAAAGCAAAGACTCGACAAGAAAAAAAAAGGACGAAAGTGTCGCTTCACCAGAGAGGCATTGGCAAAAGTTCTCTGACATGGCAAGTATATGTATACCTTTACATGTCTATTGAGTCCCGAGATCACGAGTGTTAACGACATCTTTGATTAACGCCATAAGAATCATATGGTGGGTACCGCGCCGTTTCCAGGGGGGAGCCCTCCAATATATTTCTTGTACTCTGTAGTGGTCGTGGTGGGACTGGCAATAGAGAACGGCCGGATCCACAGCCCTGACATGGCAAGCCATGTGCTGCAGCTGTGAAGGCCCATACCGTTATATTACACTGTTGAGTGTGTCTCGCAAAGTAGAGATTCATTGCGGGGTATGGAACTGGTAAGAACAGTAATAAGGATGTTGCCAAGGAGGGAGTCATATTCGAAGAACACCTGGCAAAACAACCAAGGCCACAAATATCATCAGCCTCAATAAAAATGTGGATAACCTCCAATCCAAAAGACGCGGGTCGAAGGGAATCTGAAAAAAAGGGAGGAGTCTTCAGATTTAAAATTTTAAATGTTGAAGGAACTACAAACGCAAATCCTGCAAACAGTCAGAGCCACCGCGATCGGTAGTACACATAGGAAGAGAGCATGTGAACGGTGGCAGTGCACAATTTTCAGTGCCTACCGACAATACCAGGGCCGGAATTCTCACCGTATGATCGTACTCTTACCATGCGAATAATTGATATCTTCTCCTTCCACAACGGGGAGAATATTAGTACATGTCTCTCAAAATTGTAACTGTTGGCCATGGAAATGTACGTTTCTTGCCTTCTCAATCCATTGAACGTTTGATGATTTCAACTATAGAGTCTATTACAGAATTATGGCTCTTGAAGTCAGACAGGATACCTTCATCGATCGCTCGTCTAAAACGCCCTATTTATGCCTTGGCATACAAGATGTGTCCTTTCTGACCTCATGGTGAGAGTATTACACCCACTTGGAGAACACAGAGCCTCTGTTTCTCCCGCTTCGTAAGAGAATGTAACAGTAAGCCAAGGAGTAAGCACTGTCAGCCACTGAGCTAGTACAGTGTAGTACAGCAGAGTCTGTAGTGTGGCTCCTCGAAAGGCCAATCCGGACAATATCCAAAGAGGACTATTTAACGATACCTCAATACGGTTCACCCGACATTTCCAGTTTCCATGATATCAAATACACCTCAGGCACACTGTAACTAGACAGCGCGAGCACCTATACCACAGGACCATGCCTGTCTTAGCTGCGCTTTGAAAGAAGCTGAACGACCCGATGAACCTGAACTTCGGCAGCAGCTTCACCAAAGTAGCGAGGAGTGATGAACGACCAGTCATCATCCGTGCATACCCAATATGCCATGCCAAGGACATACTTCCGCACGTATGTCTCAGTTGGCTCAGGAAATACCGGAACGCGTTTCATATCCTCCAGAAACTCTTTCGATACCTGCGTGTAACGTTCGGCGATGCAATCAACGGCCTGCTGAACTGTCATCCCCTTTTCGGCCATTGTAACGGATACGATATTGTGGTTTTTGTCGCCATAAGACTGCTCGACGTTGAAAGAGTAGATGTCCTAAATCTCCCAGTGAGCAAATAGGCACCGTTCTGTTAGGATAAAGAGCGTACATTCGCAAGAATGCACATGTCAATGACGCCCAAAACCAGCTTTTCCACCTGCGGATGCCGTATAGCTTCATCCGGCACATCCTCAGAGAGAAGGAAGAACTCCAGTGAAGGCCGAACGCCAACAGTTCCGCGTCGCATAACGAGATACTCTTCGATAGGACGGATCCGTCCGAGGTCACGATCTTCGGCTTGTTGAACAACGGCATCTGTGTATTCCGCAAAAGTCTCCGTGAAACGCTTTGCGGTCGATGGACTAGTGTGGGCTTCCTCAAGGGCTCGGATCCAGAAACTAGGTTGAAGTAGGTCAGCAGACGGAGACACCGAGACGTGAAGTCATACTCTCGTGCCATGATGCCAAGGATGTGTTCATGAGGAGGAGGAGAAGTGTAAGGATCGCTGAAACATAAGTCGTCAACGAATGAATTCCAAAGGCGAAGAAACGATTACTTTAGTGAGTTCATGATGGCATCAGCTTGCTTGCGTACTGTGGGGCCATCCGCCTGGTCGCTCAGCTCATCGAAGACAAAGTAGAAATTGATCAAGTCCACGCCAGCGCGGTATTGGGCACGGTCAGCTTTCGAATACGCCAGGGCAGCAAAGGCCCCGAAATTCCATCGATCAAAAGTGGCTTGATCTTTGGCACTGAACGCACCATAGCTTGCGACCCAAGCAGTGCTTTCAGCGTTAATCTCCGCGGCATGGGGGTTGGGAGTAGCTTTAAAAGGCCAGCCGGCCAACAGATTTGGTACCGTATAAGTTTGGGGCGTCGACATAGTCAAGGACGAAAGGCAGGGAATGCAGCATGTTTGCGCAGACGCATAATCTTTTATACGCGGTACCGCCCACTCAAATAATTCATCGTACCGATCCCGCCGCAATCGAGACGTTCGGCAATGACTCAGAAAGAAGGGTCAGTGGATAAAGACCGGTAACACCCTGAACACAAGCCCTAAGCTGGCGTTAAACGTGCATGGGATGGGATTTACAAAATTCCTAAAGTTTGATGGATACCGCTCAGAAAATCGCAGGTCTAATATGAGAGTTAACTTACCGTCACATTTATAGTCGGTAAAGGACCCGACTCGAAGGGCGCAATGATTCTTGTCTGTTTGCTGAACATCGGATCCAGCGCAGTCAGATATGAAATATGGACACCGAGATTCTCGCTTTTACCTATGTCGCGTAGTCTAGGTTGATCGTGAGCCTCGATCCTTCGGAAAATTATTCAAAAAATCAGCATGGTAAATAAATAAGAGCGGGGATCACGTACAATGCGCTAGGCCGCCTCCCCTTTGCCGTTATCTTCACAATAACATTACCTATCTAGGTCAAGCGGCGGATAAACTAAGCGCAGCTGAGAGGTGAATAAGATGGCCATGTTCAAACGAAATCGTAATCATGAATGCTGTCTTACCCGCTGAAATGAAAAAAAACACGCTTACATATGTCATCCAAGGTTCCTTCATTTCACCCGTTGGGAGCGAGATGGAACTAAAAAAATTTCGAGCAGGAGAAAAAAAATCTCTGGACAAGCACACTGACACTATTGAGTTAAGGTTATAAACCCGTCTGTACTTTGACAGGGCACTTTGGTAAGATGATATTCTTTGAGTATAGAATAATGATCTTAACAAGTGAGCCTCTCCATTAACAGCATTTCTAATTTTTGGCGCGAAAGCAGACAGTCAATTACTGAACGGGGATCAGGGTGGAAAGATACATACAGGCAGGTCTATATGGTACTTTTGGGATGGCCCATGTATTCAACAAAGGAGTTTTCTTTCGCTTTCGTCGGTAGCCTTGGAATAATACGGGATAACACGCCGCTAGGCAAATCTCGGTGTCAAGGGAAAGAATACGATTTATCCATGCAACGCAGAGGATGAATCTGGCATATGCCTGATCTTATGCGATCAGAAGTAGTATGCTATGGTGGTGCACCGCAGATATTGGGGGCCAGTTAAGCGAGCCCTTTCTAGAACTCTCTGGTAGCTCATTGACAATGGCGTTAATGAGGACTGTAGAACACATGCCAGAGACTACTTGTTTGAATACCAATCAGCAACCGAAATTTGGAGGAAATATGGCGCCAACCTATAACAGTTGTGTGAGCAGAGAGTTAGGCGATGACGTTCTACAACTTAGCGAAGCACCAGAAGAAGACATAGTTCAATGAGGCGCGGCGTATTGACGGCACTACTAGAAGATGTGCTTCAATGGGGCCATTTCAAGAGCGCATACCAACTGAAAATAGAGCTGAACATACGTTTTTTCAAATAAAGGCGTCTCTTGGTTTCTGAATTCTGTTTTCAGTTCGGTGTGACTAAATTCAAGTTAAACCTTTCTGGCATATTCATCCTCTCCTCGTTGAAATCATCGCGAACGAAACGGTAAAGTAGACTAGATGCCCAAGTTCATATAATATAGCCATCCGTCGACTGCTACCAGTAATCAGCTTAGGCTGAAACATATGCGTCCAACGGAACATTCTAAATAAAGATGTGGCACTGATTTTTCTTCCGTTCATTGTGAGCCTTGCCCGCTTCAACACACCTTCAATAGTCGCTATCCAAAACACCACGACTAAGATAAATGTCCACGAGTATTCGTTGAGTCTGATATGGACACCAATGTGATCAGAAACCCAGAATCTGGCTTCTGACCCTCATGACCATGCCACTGAATGGTAAGAACGTCGTTGGGACTACAGCGGATTCTGCTGCGACGAAGAACGTTCCGCCTTGACTCCAAATGTACTCATGAACGAGTCCAGACAGTAATGATCAGGCAGGCATTGGCCCAGAGTCAAGTCCGAGAAACGGCCGAGCTAGCATCAGAGCTTCGGAAGGGTATCCATGAAAGCTGCAGAACGAAGAACGAGGTAAGAGCTCCCAAAACGGAGTCTGACGTATACAGCGGGTATTATTGGGAAACATCTCGATAACTGCCATTGAATATATTTTCCTCTTTGTTGCACTCGTGAAGTAGCTGCAGTAGTCATTGCCGAGTCCTGATGGCCTTGGTGGTCGCTTGAAACGATTCATAACCATTTTTGCCAAGGACGGATAACGGGCCGAGCACCCACTTTCAACACTGACAGTGACATACCATCTCGGGTTCCTCTCGACATCAAGCTACTTTGGTCGACGCTTTCTGTACTATCGCGCTCTGAAATCAAAGTTCATCACAACATGAACCAAGAGTAATGGTCTACTTCTAGTTCGCGATGCGGAAGTGATGCCGCAGAATTCCAAGTTGGCTAGCTTTCGACGGCGACTTTTTTGCAGCACCAGGTGATTGCCAGCCTCTTTTCTTGCTCTTTAAAATCCAATACATACGTGCTATTACCAGGAGTATTTTAACTGTGTTCAGCACTTTCCGTCTGGCCCTCCTTTTCTGTAGTACTACGCGATTTAAGTGGCCGGCAGCTAGCCAACTGTACAGGAATTCGCAGATCGCGACGTACAGGACTTACTTGACAAGACATTCGAAGGATACGTAAATCTCTCATATGAAGCACAAGTAAGACAGAAATAAGTCTTCTCGACGGTGCGCTCTCTCGCCCTGATGAACGCTCCTGGAAGCGACCAGAACTATGGAATTAGCACGGGGACGGAGACTGGACGCAAGTGACTATCGGTTGCGGAGGAGTATAAGATGAGGGCAAAAGACACTCCATTCATCAGGTCGACATGGCTTCAAGTACCACCTTGGTAGAATCCATACCTGAAGTGATTGACAGCGACAAGCAGAAAAAGTCATTCCTTCAGCGTCTGGGGCCTTCATCATATTCTGCGGAGAGACGTCTCTTGTTCAAAGTTGACGTGTCGGTCCTCATATTTGCGTCGGTCCGTCATTTTCTTTATACTCTCAGAAGATTCTGACGCTCTCGAAGCTGGGATATTTCATCAAAAATTTGGACCAAGTGAGTGTAGTATGGCCTTGCAGGAGAATGTTTTCTAATCAAATCTCCATGCAGAGCAATGTGTCCAGTGCAGTGAGCCATGCTCTTCGCATGGGATCTCTTCTCGGCACTGAATTTTGAACATCCATGCAGTACTTTGCTGGAATGCGTGAAGACTTGTGAGTTGACGGTCTCCTGTCACTGCTTCGTCTCTCATTATATAATTTAGATCGATGTACGGCAACCAACTTGTCCACGTAACCTCCTGCTGGGCTGCGGGGTACGTACAGTTCAAAATTAGTCCTATAACCTAGCTGATGCTGTCGGCGTTGGCAGATATGTTGTTGGACAAGTGCCGTCGAACTTACTTCTCACGAGAGTGTCTCCTCGCTACGTTATCCCTGTTGTCAGTTGTTTTTCTCCGACACACTGCATTTACCTATAATTTTTCTATTCAGCTCGAGCTCGCGTGGGGACTAGCTACCCTAGGAACTTTTGCAGTGAAGAACGTGAACCAACTCTTTGCTATCAGATTCTTAGGTTCGTTACAGATTGACGATTAATTATTCTCTTGTACTTACCTCTGGCATTTCGTGACAGTCGGTCTGTGTGAGAGCGGATTCTATCCTGGGTATGTCTGTTGTGAATTCGAATAAGTTGTTGCTAAAATATCTGTCAGCATGCACTTTATTCTCGGTTCATGGTGTGTTTTCATCGAGAATAAATAATAGCGCTCTGCTGATTGCAATTATCATTTAGGTATACTCCTCGTGAACTGGCCAAGAGAGCTGTCGCTTTTGGCATCGCTGGTACTCTTGGAACGGTGTCTTCAAGTTTTCTGCAAACCGCCACCTTCAAGACTTTGAACGGAGTAAATGGCCTGGCTGGCTGGCGGTAAGCTCTTAGATCAATTACATTTCTCTATTCTTACATGTTCGCAGATGGCTGATGATTGTAGATGCCGCCATGTATGTTATTCTTGTCTGCTGTAAGCTAAAAAAAGTATTGAAATGGAAGGAAGCACGTTCCCTGTTGCGCTTCTCGGCTTTTTTTGCCTTCCAGATCTCCCTTACAGTGCGAAACCATCCATTCTTCTCAATCGGGACGTATGTCTCTATTTAGATCTAAGATCGCCTGATCAAAACATCTTATTCACTGAATCTTCCTAGGACATAGCTTTAGCACGAGCCAGAATGAGAGCTATAGGTCGTAAGGAAACTGAACCGTGGTCACGAGAGAAGGTTCACAACTATTTTACAGTGTTTCGGCGTTTATACTGACAAGTAAATGGTAGCTGCGCCGCATCTTCAGCTCCTGGTATATCTGGATCTTGCCCATTGAATATGTTCTATGGCTCAATGGTGCTATTACATTACCCACACAATATTGGCTGAAGAGCTTCAACACGACTCCTCCACCGGTCCCCGGGAGGAGATTCAGCGTCACCCAAATCCAGCTACGTACGTCAAATTTTGTCTACATCTCATTGTTGCTTAACTAATGGCCTTTCTCACCTAGTCCCGCTTCCTACAACGGCAATCCTCATTGTCTGCGCCTTTACCTATGCTTGCCTAAGTGATGGTCCCTTCAAGGGTATGCAGAACACGGTTTATTCTATTGTCCTGGTGCCCTTTTGAGTTTCTTGACAGGACGCAGATATCCGTTTGTCTATTTAAGCGCCGTGCTACACCTCGTTTTAAACTCTGTTTGGCTTTCAATGCCGTTATACAAGAACATTCCCGCTCATTTCGCCTATTTCTATGCGACTGGACTCACCGTATGCATTTCCTTACTCCTTACTGTCTGTCGGGACGTCTAACAAGCTTATCTTAGGGGGGTGCTGGTGTGCTGATCCTGAACTGGATCAACGAAATCACGGGGGGAGATGTGAGAGATTATCATTTTCGATGCAGGGACAGTGTCGCTTACATTGTTTCAGACTGAGCTCCGAGCACTCTGTGTAGCACTCGGGAACGATCTCGCTTACGTTGTTAACGCAATTGCACCCAACTTTGTCTGGAAAACCGCTGACTTTCCTCGGGCAGAAAAGGGCTATAAATATTCTCTCAGTATGTTCTAGCACTATAATGATCGTACGTCGGATTCTAACACTTCGCTCCCCAGTTCTGCAATCCCTTTTAAGTAAGTCCGGTTTTCACTAATAGAAGGACTCATACTCTTATATCTTTATGCAGTCCTTTGGACAACTCTTATATTATTTCTTCTCCGGAGGGACCGAAAGAGGCATGCTTATCGCCTCGAACGGAATCTCGAGGCCGGCCATGATGCTTTAGACTCTGATATTTCACTAACCACCTTCGTCTCACGTGATGGCCATGGCCAGGCCAGGCCGTAAAGGGCGAACGGGATTCGCCATTATCAAGAGGCTCGTTGAGGAGATTTATTTTCTTTTAGGGTTACGGTTCAAAAGGTAAGACATGACATACATGACAGGCATGCGGCCGTAACTTGTTTATTCATACATTTTACATTTGTGTATTTATAATGAATCAATCATCGAGTTTTAATCCTTCTCTTCTGGACTTTGACGACGGATCGAAGAATGGCTTTTCAGCAAGCGAACTGACCCGAGTGCCATGACGCTCAGGCTTTCCTTCATAGTCGTAAGAGACCGTGTGGATCGTGGTACGGTTGTCCCAGCTGGAAATAGACGAGTTTCAGTGAGAATGCTCCCAATTTGGATTAAAGTCGACGCTCACATCGCAGAAGTTCCGGGAGTCCAGTGCCATCTGATCTGGATGTCCGTCGACCTTTCGTAAACACTACGACATATATTAGCAGAAGATCCCAGTTGCCAGATACGGCTTGATTGCTCACTCATGAATATGATTCAAGATCGCATCGCTCTCCGCCCTGTCGAAGCCTTCGATGCCAACAGTCATACTGCGGTTGGCAAAGACGGTCTTGAAACCAGTCACGGGGTGGGTTCGTACCAAAGGATGCACAGTCTCCACATGACGAGGAGGAGCATCGGGGTCGTTCGCATCTTTGTACTGGTGCGCAGATCGGTAGACTCCACTAAATATATGGTCAGTGGTAGTTTATGGAACCAAGTTTGGCAGAACCGACTTGAGGCCATCAAGAAGCTTCCTGAACGCCGGGGAGAACTTGTCGTATGCGGAGTACCCAGAAGCCTATGATATAGATTGCTTAGATGGACATCACTGGCCGGTGACTTTTAACGTACCCAAAGCGTGTCACCGCCAACAGGGGGAACGGTATCCTGGAGCGAAATAATTAGGTTTATTGAAGTAGTGTGGATGGAGGATCACCGCGCCTGGTGGAGATGGGTGTAACCCGGAGGGAACGCCAGATGAACGAGGTCCGTGTGCCATCCATAGGTACCAGAGGGATAGGCGTGCCTAAAGCCTCGTGGGCCACGCTTTGCCAACTCCTTGTACTCCTTGTCCTTGCGACCAGGTTCCCAGATCAGGGAGACGCCCGGAAATCCGGGGACTTGTGCGACCTGAGGATGAACTTCGACCTCGCCCTGGCCGAGATAGAGGCCTAGTTCCCTCTGCTTCTGAGGAGAAAGGTCTTGGTCGCGGAAGACTGCAAAGACATCAGTCTGGACTAGGTGCTAGAGTGAGCGGTCGGACGTACAGACAACAGAGCGTTCACTGAAGTAATATTAGAGCGTGAGCTTCAAGTGAGATCGATCAAGAGCGAAAACTTACGCGACCAAAAGAGCGAGCTCATCACGCTGCTGGTCTGTAAGCTTCGAAAGCTGCAAGCCAACAATCTCAGTCTGTAAAAAATGAGCAAAGGGGTCCCATAGATAAGGATGATAATCACGCACTCCAATGTGGATGGAAAGATCTCTGACTTCCTTCGCGGCACCGAAAAGAGCCTTCTTCTCAGGGTCCGCCCTGGTTGCTGGGTCGACGTAGTCTCGAAGGTCGGTTTGCAATTTTGCTACATCTTGGTAGAAGTCTGGCTTGGGCGGATAGAAGGGGTAACCCTCTGTATAGAAAACCTTTGATTAAAACAGCCGAGCAAAGGGGAGAGTACTAGAACATACGAGAAATGTCGACGCCCGCTTTTTCGTACCGTTTAAGGGTGTTGGCAGGGGGTAGCTTGAAATTGGCATCTTCCTTCGGGTAGACGGGCTTGATAGGCTGGTTGGAGATCACAGGAGTGGGAGCTGTAGCGACTGGAGCCATTGTAGTAGTGTGCGTACTATGCCGAGATGGAGAGTTGTAACAGGTATAATATACCCCTTCGAATGTTGCCTTACAAAGAATGATTACAGATAATAGATAAGGGTGAGGTTCACGCAATCCAGTCAGAAATTGTCTGCTATGAGGCGACCAGCTGTGGAAATGACGCATACCAGGAAAATCGCGGCCAAGATAAGAACCCCCGGTCCCATGACTGGGTCAACCGTCAAATGACAAAGAGAAATCTCGACGTATATCAACGCGACTATTACTCACGTCCCGAAACACGTGCTTCCGACAAGGAGACAGTGGTGCATAGAGCTAAAATGTTCACAGAGGTCTTTTAGGGTAACATTATGGTTCTCCAGCGCCGAGGGCGATAAAATTTCTGATACAAGCGAGAATTAGCGATCAGAACACTGACACTACACCAGTGATAATCCGGGTTCATCTTAACAAGTTTGAAGAAAGTGGCCAGCCGCCTAGTCCATACTGCTGCAGCCAAAAAAAAAGATAAAATCCGCAGAAACACACATGAATTCCGTCATTCAGATATGCTTTTGCATGCCTCTCAGGATTTCGGAGTCTGGCGCGTGTTTTCCGAGGTCGATAATCGGGTCGTGGTTGGTTGATTGCGTCGGGCCGGCATCCGACTCATACGAAACTTGCCGAACCGCAATCATTTCCTCCGCTCTGCCGCCACCATTTCTTCAACTAGACGCGGGATGTCGCACTTTGCAATTGAATTTCTGCGCACTATACCCAGTAAGTGGATATTTTACGCAAAACGGAAAACGAATGTCCTTCGTATCGTTTCTTGGAACCGTTGCCAGTGCCCTGGCGAACAAGTTTCTCGGGGCAGCTTCCAGGGCTTGGTTGAGAAGCTCCATGATATACAACAGCACTGCCAATCATCGATTAATCATCACTGATATGGACCCACAAGACCAAAGTTTGCCCCATCCGGTACCGGTTCATCAACCTTCGCGATGGCGCGTTTTCTCGCCTTCATTTCACTAAACCACGAAGTAACCAGGCCCACTGTACAGGCAGTAATCCTCAGGTATTAGCACACAAATGATAACAGAAAAAGATAACGGCATTCCATAAGTTGGAGGCCTTTCCCTTCAACGCATTGCAGACATGGCGTCCAAACTCGACGATGCTACCGCTGTGGATGCTCTTCCCGAACTTCCCAATGTCGTCGACCAGAAGAAGCAAAAGCAGTCTCTGCTCGGCTACTTTTGGGATACCGCGGATCTCAGTCCTGAGGAACGGCGTCTGTTGTTCAAAGTAGACGCTTCCGTGCTTATTTTTGCTTCGGTGAGGACTATTGTTTTCTCAGGATCTAGTTACTAACCTGATCGTATCTTAGTTGGGTTACTTTATTAAGAATTTGGATCAGGCAAGTATATTGTAGCTGTCTTTGAACTACATCTCTTACTATTTGGCCCCTTTGCCCAGACCAATGTTTCGAGTGCAGTGCGTTCCATCTGAACCAGTCGTTGGCACGACATTTATATTACCCATACAGTATTTCGCTGGCATGCGCGAAGAGTTGTATGTCGATCCATATCACTGATATTTGTATCTGACTGTCCGTCACAGGGGAATGTATGGAAACGAACTCGTTCATGCTACGTCTTATTGGACTGCCGGGTGAGATAGATCGATTCTAGGCTTTCCATTGATGTTGAATAATCCACCTTCAGATATGTCATTGGTCAAGTGCCCTCGAATCTACTTCTCACCAGAGTATCTCCGCGCTACGTTATTCCCGTTGTAAGTCCATCGTATCTGATTAAAAAATTTATCTCACTTCTTCATCCCAGCTCGAACTTGCATGGGGACTCGCAACTCTTGGTACTTATGCGGTGAAGAACGTGAAGTCACTCTTTGCACTTCGCTTCCTAGGTACGGTATTTTCTTTCAAATATTCTTTTATATTGTGTTTGTCCTTACCCCTGTTCTAGTCGGTCTATTCGAGAGTGGCTTTTATCCAGGGTATGCTTCGTCTACTTGCTACGTCGCCTAAGTCTGACATCCGCTTCGACAACAGGATGCACTTCGTTCTTGGATCATGGTCCGTCTTCGCGGCGTATCTTTACAACCTATCACTCAGGACTTTGACCTAGGTATACCCCGCGAGAGCTGGCAAAGCGATCTGTTATGTTCTGGACCGCCGGATCGCTCGGTCAGATGTTCTCAGGTTTCTTGCAGACCGCAGCGTACAAAAAATTGAACGGCGTTCATGGGTTGAGTGGATGGCGGTCAGTTAAGGGCATGTATGACTATGGCTTATTAATTACCTTGCTTCTAGATGGTTGATGATTGTAGACGCCATCATGTGCGTTTTAGAACACATTTTTGCATACGTACTAAGGATCATGGCAGAACACTTCCTATCGCCCTGCTGGGATTCATATTCCTTCCAGATCTCCCATTCAATGCTAAGAAATCATTTCTTCTTAGTCCAGAAGTGCGCCGTTTATTCTGGTTCCCCTTTAAAAGACACTTCACTAACCAGGGGCACTCCTAACAGGATATTGCTCTGGCTCGGGCCCGTATGAAAGCCGTAGGACGCAAAGAAGCCGAGCCATGGACCCGGGCAAAGGTCAGAAAATAACCTTTTGGTGTCTCTCGCTCTGACACGGCGTAGCTTCGTCGGATCCTTACCTCCTGGTACATCTGGATCCTACCTATAGAATACGTCCTGTGGAACAACGGCAGTGCTCAGTCTCCTATGCAATACTGGCTCAAGAGCTTCAACAGCACACCCGCTCCTGTTCCGGGAAGGAAATACACTGTCTCTCAAATACAGCTGCGTATGTAGATCCATTACCTTCTTCCTTTTATAATTTCTCAAGCTCTTATAGTGCCACTTCCTGCAACTGCCGTCTTCGTCGTCACGGCATGGTTCCTAGCTTGGCAAAGCGACGGACCGTTCAAAGGTTAGCCGTCCCTACCGTCCTGGCCAAGGCTGACATCCCAGAAGGTCGAAGATATCCATTCATATATCTCGGCGCGGTGCTCTGTCTTATATTCAACATCGCGTGGCTCGCCTTGCCACTGTACAAGAACATACGCGGTCATTTTGCCTACTTCTATCTTATGACCACTGGGGTTTGTCTTGTCTTCTTCAGATCCACGTTAATCTCTAACCGACACATTCAGACCACGGCCGGGCCGCTAATCTTGAATTGGATCAGTGAAATAACACAAGCAGATGTCAGTACTTGCTCTTCGGTTTAGGGTATGCCCAGCTGATGGTTCCTTGAACACAGACTGAACTCCGGGCTATCTGTGTCGCTCTTGGAAATGACCTTGCGTACGTGGTACAAGCTGTTGCTCCAAATTTTGTCTGGAAGACGACGGACTTTCCGCGAGCCACGAAGGGTTATCACTGGTCTATCGGTACGACATATTCACGTCATTTATTCCGTGTATGCTTTCTAACTATCCTCTGACAGTTCTTCAAGTACTTCTGAGTAGGCATTTCCCTTATTCGATGACTACAATACGTCACTGACAATGAGCCTGCGCAGTTCTTTGGACTCTTCTCATACAATTCCTTCTTCGAAGAGACGAGAGAAAGAAGAATGGACAACTAGAAAGGACTATCGAGGCCGGAGAAGCAGCTTCGACTTCAGCACATAGAGCCGACATTGACGATGATGACCCAGTGAAAGTGAGCGAGGATGATGGAGAAGAGAGCAAACATAATCGCTGACCTCTACGTACCTTAACGGATTGAGCCGCTATAGATAATTTAGGCATTTTTGTATACGACCATTATAAGATTTTTACCCTTTCCTTACTAGTATGACGAGAAGACGAAAGGTGTGAATAGGTAACCTGTCTATGAATAGCAAAAATGGAGCGACGAATTCACACGCATTGAGCATTGTGGCGGTGCAACGCAGCTGCGAACGACGCTTTGTACCTCAACCACGACCATGGACGGCTGGAGCAAGCTTCAATCAAGCATCAGTGGCCTCAATCTCGGCCAAAGTGCGAACAAATTCGCCAAGGGCTTCAATTCGAGCGTCCAGGCAACAAGGGAGCGACTGGGCCAGGTAGCACCGGAGGAGATTACGGAGCTTCCACAGGGTGAGCATCTGTCTTCGTGACACGATAGGACGACGGCCAACCAGTGACTGTACAGAGTACAAGGATCTCGAGAACCGTGTCGACTCCCTGCGGAATGCCCATGTTGCCCTGCTCAAGTTAGTCTCATTCAGCATCCATTCTTACCTTGATGCTGACCATTACCATGTAGGATAGCGAAAGTCTACGACCACGAAGGATACGACTACCCTACCCAGATCCAAGAGTCCATTTCCGAGCTGTCCATGTCCATCGGCGCCGGTCTGACCAACTTTGCTGCCAACAACCTCAAAGGGACCAATCTGCCTACGCCTGCGCCCGTCGTGCCGCCTCAGGCTCAGCACAAGACGCTTCCGCATGCATTGGGGCGCGCGGCGACGAGCGCGGCGCAGGGGCTGGGTTCCGATGACAGGTTGGGGAGGGCGCTGGCGCTTTATGCAGGAGGATATGACAAGGTTGCGACGGCGAGGCTACAGCAGGACGACAGCATCCGTGCAGGCTTCCTCCACCCGTGGCACACGACCTTGAGCACATCGATCCAAGTTGCGATGAAGGCGCGGCAGGCGGTCAAAGTTAGCCGGTTGGAGTTGGATGCTGCTAAGCAAACGTGCGTCGTCGTATTATCGTTTTTTCTGGTGCTGCTAGATCTGACTGGTGTCTGTAGGCTGAAGAATGCCAGCCCGTCCAAGCAGGAGCATGCTAGACTGGAGGTTGAGAATGCGGAAGATGACCTGGTGCAGAAGACCGAGGTGGCTATCACTCTGATGAAGACGGTGTTGGAGAACGTTAGTGCTGTCCTCAGTTTGCTTTGATACTTTGCTCACTGTTACTTTCTATACAGCCTGAGCCTCTTAAGAACCTTAATGAACTCGTCAAGTCTCAGTTGATGTTCCATGCCGCCGCAGCTGAGGCACTGTCGAGCGTACAGGGTGAAATCGAGGAGCTGAGCGTTGCAGCAGAAGGAGAGTATAGGTAAATATCCTTCGTTCTGTACTATTATCGTCTATCTGAAATCCTCGCCCTAGGAAGTCCCGTGACCACTGAAATCCCTCTCAAGTAATCTGCTTGCTGTTTTTTTTCTCACATACCATGGACGTTTGGAACTGTTTTATTTCGTCTAACTAAACATATTTCTTTTTTGCTCAACGTGACCGGCTGGTCGGTATTGTATCCCTTTATTACCAGCATGCAGAGAAAATAACAATAATGGCTTCGGTAACGCTCTTGTGGAATGGAACAGAAGTGACGAAGAGACCTGATAGCAAATATAACCAACAAGCCAGCGAGAGCGGCTAAGTATAAGCAAGTCCCAGCAAGTCCGAGAAAATCAATCGTTTCGAAGTAGAGATAATCTCTTGTCTAGGATAGGGAGGAGAACAGGCGCTCCCGGAGTTGGATGGCCATGACGGCTAATGAAATCTCACATGAAAGAATTTGAGAGGGGAGGACTCTCGGAGTCTATCATTGAGTTCTGGGCTCAGGTGCTAGACAATTTCTCAGGCTGTCATACCTATTGCAGGAGGGTGGATTATTTGATCGATGCTAGGGCCATCGTCCAATTCTACTTTCCTATAGTAGGCATGGCTGATGTGAGTAAAAGAAAAGACATAATGTCCATTGCGTTCTGGCTGGATAGTCAGTTCTCCACGAGACGTAGCAAAAGTTTTTGTTATGTTGCGAGGTGGTTGACTGTCTTGCTGAATACGATAATAGACATGGAATGGCCGCGTTCCGTGCAATACAAGCGCCGCAGGAATACCGGTGTCCCCAGAACTGTGCGTAGATTTAACAGTGTTTCTTGAATATACAATCCGATGTACCGCTATTTCAGCGGAGGGGAAGGGCCTTTCGACGACTTGGCACCTCTCTGGAGCAAGGACATCACCTTTACATCACTACGAGAGCTAGAGTGAGCATTATTCAATAAATTAATGAACAAACTACCTTTCCTTTAACCTTCTCAATTGCGTATTCACCGGGTGCGCCAGCCTGGATGTTTAGATCCATTCGGTTGTCCTGTGTCGACAGTGTCTTCCTCCATGACTTGAAACGCTTCACATCGAGACTGCCGCTATCTGATCCATGTGAGGGTTGATATTCGACCGTAACCTCCAAAGGTAAGTCAAATGAATCGGCGACGAAGCACCTGGAAAGAGCGGGTGGTCGTAGTACTGAATGATTCGTCTTGCCCTGATGTCGATGATATCGAATCAGAGCCAACACGAACAGTATTGCCCACCGCATCCATGACCTCCTCCAGTGCATAAAGATGTGTCCCGACTGCATCGGATGATACTGGCAGTAGTACCTGCAACTGTGAAGGTATCAACCGTCTCCGAGTCACCTCCATGCCTGTTCCTTTCAGTTCCGCGCCATGATTGCTTTCGATGCCTTCTACAAGGAAGCTCTCCTGTTTCCCATTTATCATCTTAAACCACCTAAGGCTCTCAAGGGAGTGACACCACTGATGTCAATCATAAGCTGCTGGTCGAGATCCCCTCCTGCGCAGTGGATGTCGAGGCTGCTGTTTCCAACAAACGCTACTCGCGGACACGAAACTACCACAACCTCTGCTGGATATACTAGTCGCGATTCGATACCAGAGGCGTCAAGAATCCGTTCTAAACGAACGTTACCCGGTTTCGTGAGTCGTATATGCACCAGGGACTGGGTCTTCTGTAGGGAAGACTGCTCGTCATTGTAGTCGTTACTATCTTCTTCTTCTTCTTCGTCGTCGTCGTCGTATTCATCGTATTCATCATCATTAATAGATAAAGCTGAAAGTTTCACTACTTGTAGCGCATCTAAATGCGCTTGCTCGATTGCCTTTAACTCCTTTGACGACAAATCAAAATATTCCACGCCGCTTTCTCGGGAGCTGTCCTAAAGGTGTCAAAGAATACCGTAGAGATGAAGGATTGGTGTTGTTTAGAAGAACAGGGACGAGAGCAACATCACCAGGCGAAGACAAACAAAGTCAAGCCATTGGGGTTGAGATTTGCGGTGCTAATAGGTGACATCCGAACGGTATGTTGACCGAGAAAGATGTGAGTCACCGGAGGCACTGTATGAGGATGAAAGAGCGCCGAAAAAGAAAGGCGATAGGTAATCCAGATAACTCCAAGCTTGAGGAGTAGAGGGCAAATTCCCGCGTCCTGAAGCTAGGCATCAAGAAGAGAAACTGAAAAAAAGAACCATTGGCACGTACCCCGAGTATCCCTCCGGGGATATGCTGCTTTCACCGCTTCTCCAGCTCTCGGCAGATTTTAAACTGACACCACCAAACATCAGCCCATCAAAGAAACACAGAGCAACTATTTGCAACGCCACCACGGAAGTGGCATAGTTCCGGCGGGGAATGCATAGTTGTGAGAGAAACGGGCAGGATGCGATATCGATGGCCAGCCATTTTACACATGATTCGTCAGACGACGCAATGTAGCGGGAAGAAATCGAATAGCTTCACAGCCTGTAGGACGATGCATTATGGGTAAAACGTGCCACAATACTGGAGCATTCAATATACCTGGATAAAGGCTCCCAGACTCAGGCAGTATAGGCGCTGGGTGGGTACATCTAATGGGTCTTTTCTTCTTGGTACCGGCATGGCAGAATTTCCCTCCGAGAACGTGGGAAGCCAATATGTTCCGAATCCAATTGTTTTGTAAGTAGAAACTGAGAGGGAAGAGGGAGGAATGGTCGTCACACTGTCGAAAGAAGAAGGGACAAGAAAAATAACAAGTTGGAGGGATCGTTATCCGACCCTGCGCTACTGCACTTTCTTAGTCCAATTACTCTTTCGTTAACTGAACGATCAATCTGCAAGTTGACTTTCTCCCGCCATCAGTTTGTCTCCCGGCCTTTACGCCGAAGCGCCTGTTTTTGCTTGCACGTGTTGATAACCGTCCGTGACGCTGATTCTCAGCGCTAGAAGGGTTGCTCATCGAAAGCATCTCATATCTATTCATCTCTTCTCTTCTTGAACGATGGAACCACTCCCTCCCCTCCCGAAGATCAATGGCGACTACAACATCATGCTCGATGTTTACACGCATCGTACCGCGAGGCCCGGTGCAGGTGCAGATGTAATGGACGAAGAATATGGCAATACCGAGCGTCTGGCGGAGCTAGGCAAGAAAGTGCTCGACCTGGTCGTCATACATCATTTCTTTTTCTTAAAGCCACATCTCGCTGCAGAAGAAGTTACGGTACGAAGCACTGATCCTTCGACCGTTCCAGATGTTGAAATGAGTGGTGCTTATCAGAATAGAAAAGCCGAAACGCTCTCAGACGATGCTATCGTACGATGGACCGAAAGGTACGATTTGAAGAAGAAAATTCGAGCGTTTCCCCATACTGTTTTGGATGACCCGAATGTAACAAAGATACCTTGATCTCATGTCGATGGCCTCTGATCTTTCGACAGGAACTCCGTGTTTTCTTCCACACCTTCATTGGAGCGCTGTACATTCGCAATGGAATGGCTGAAGTACAAGATTGGATCTCTCGCTTGATAGATCCCACCAGCGAGCCTGCAACTATCATTGGTCCACCACCACAACAAACACAGAGTCTTCCAACACAACCCCTCCAGTTTCCGCCACCCCTGCCGCCCTCTTTTAATCCAGCAAGCCCACCACCCGTGGCCCAGACGTCCCAGGGTGGCGATTCCCTTATTATGCTGCAACTTGTGAATCAAATGGCAGCTCAGCAAAGACGTGCCGTGATGTATCAGGCGCAAAGTGAAGGGCCTCCCCACGCGCCTACATGGACTGTTCAGTGCTTGTGTGAGTGAAAATTTGGACTTCCATCGGCTACGCAGCATATCATGACGATTTTTTCAGTGGATGGTGCTCTCGTTGGAACCGGGACGGGTCGTAGCCAGAAATTGGCGAAGGAGGAGGCCGCCAGACAGGCATGGAATGTCTTGGGAGTTCATTAGGCATAGTGAGTCTTCTGGCTCGCGTATATATACATATGCCTAATCGTTGTTTACACAGTGATATGCTAAATGATCGATAAATGTGATGAAACTCGTGAAATGTGTGCACTGGACAATATTTGAATATCTCGCAATGTATGAGTATCGACGAACATATCAGCCATTGATCAAACTAAGAACTGAGATACCAGAAGAAAATATACGTCGCTATCAAAGCAAGGAACACCTTGGTTTGACGATCAGGTCCGAGTCCCGCCACCTGCGGACCGCCATCGTTGGCCTTGGAGGAGGAATTCGCCGGACCTCCGCCAAGGGTATGACCTGTCCCAGAGAAAGCTCCTGAAGCAGAACCCGAAGAACCAGTTGAATGCCTCCGAATCGCATTCTCCAACGGCGCTGAACATAGATGGGTATCAATATACGACGCAGTAAATCACAAAAGGTTATGCCCCACTTTCGATCGGCACCACGAACGAACTTTGTCGATTTTCTCCGTACCTCTGAGAAAGATGAATGAATGTCGGCCTGGATATGAGCGATACGTTGAGCAAGTCGCTCGACGCTTAAACGAACAGAGTGACACACATGGCAGACACCCACCCGGTATGCAGACGCTGCGTCCTTCGCAGCATCCACGTCGCACTTGAGGAAATTGATGTTCTTGTATGTTCTTGAAAGATCTTCGAACGTAGGGGCAATAGCGTGGCACGGCCCACACCTACAAGAATTAAACAAAGGATCCATTACTGTAATTACCAGTAACTTAGCAGTGGGCATGGAAATCAGAGGGCTGAGACCTCGATTTCTGGCACTTTCAAACTAAATGGGCATCCTTTACGTGCGCTGTTCGTAACGACCATGGCATGCGAACCCTCTCCGACCGTCTTATGACACCTGCTTGCTGAAGCTTTTAGGTCTGCTTACGGTCGAGTTCCTTCTGTCTTTTCTACCTAATTGATCACCTTTGTCTGAAGCTACTGTGTGTTCGGGACTCTTTTTGCTCATCTTTGCTGCCGGCCAGCTGCTAGCATTACTGGTGGTGTTTGCTAAACATTCTAGTGAACAATCAGGCTGTACAGCCAACTATCGTATGGATTAGAAGGTATCTATCTCCCAATACTTGGAACGCTTTAACGGAAAAAGAGACGGCGGGCGAATGACTTTGTAGGTAGTCGGGGCCTGCTCTGACTGGCGTATCTGGCGTTGTTTCGCGCTACGGCGACTTTGTTACTCCTGCTAGGGTACATGCATTTTCAGTGATGTAGAAATCTGTCTTCAGAGGACGGCATAGATGTCCCGAGTATAGTATGAATTAAGTCGGGGAGGGAAACCGGGCCCAGAATAGAGAAGCGAATTCGCGAAAGGGTGAACTTGTGGAAATGGGTGATAATGTTCCGCGTAAATACATGCCATCATTGAAACGATTAGTAGGAATCGGCCCGGGATGTTATCGCTGGTTGGGACGGACCGGGATATGCCGTACCCAAGCTTCACCATCGTCCTCCATCACTCGTTCTCGATTCTTGAGGCGCAAATACGGACTCGGCGCTTGAAGAGGGGAGCCCAAGAGGCAAGCAGCTGCGAGTGCTAGGAATGGAATGGGGATTTCCCGGTGAGTAGTAGCAGAATCGTGCGCAACATGGGCCCTTGAGCTGACTTTTTCCGCCAGTTTCTTTCGCCACCGGCCGTGAAAAGGATACATATGGAGCGCAGGAGACCGATATTAGATACAAGTGTTGTCAATGATTTAGTGAGCGTGAACGACGGAGGCTTGGCACCGGGCATTTAACGACAGAGCTTCAAATGTCAATGTCGTCTTCCTCGTTGTGAAGACCAGTGGGGAACGAGCACCTGCTTTTTGGGCGGCTTCGGCGGGCTAGGATCATCGATGCCTAGCTGAATGGTCCTATGAAGCCATGGAAATGCATGGTATATACCAAGAGTGTGCGTTCCTTTTCCTTTCACTTCGCTTTACATAACCAAAATTTCTGCACAGACAACGACCGTCGAGGAATTAAAACACACTTCCCTGGAAATCTTCTCCATCTCAGTATCCAATTGCCGGCCTGCGCAAACTTCTCTCTGGCAATGACGTTCAGACATTCCCTGTATTTTCTTCTCGACCATGAACGGCGAACGACAAGCGTTAACGGTACATCGCGTAGCCTCAGTTCCTCTGGCTTGTTGAATGTCCCATTTGTGGGTATCGAAGTGGCGATAGCATAGCGGGCAGCCCAGAATGTTTCGCCAGTAAAAACAAGCGCCGTTACGGGTAAGCACTTTGCTTATGAGACGGAGCCAATTCTCATATAAAACTCCAGATGTACTCTTTTTTTTTGAAGGATTGACATCCGATTGTAACTGTCTCAACGATGAGGAGGCCTCCGTCACGAAGCCTGGTGAGCCCTGTGCTTTCTCCTCTTAGTGTCCACGTTCTCAAACCCAACAAGGCATCTTCAACTGCAAACTCGTTCAGGGCGCTCGGCGTTGTAGAACGTCAACGCTTCGCCACAATGCCCATCCCACTCATGCTCAGTGGCGTCCTACATCTCGTCCAGCGCGGCCTCTGAATCATCAATACCCAGCCCTCCTATCCTCAATATATGCGTCTTCATCTGCCTGAAGACTCCTGGAAAGTTATCTCTTCTTTCGCAACCTTCTTTGCCGACCCACCCCCCCAGGGGAACATCGCGCGCTTCGACGACATTGATATCGATGAATCCAGCCTCCTTCAAGCGGTTCGGTAAATCACTGGCTATATCTAAAAGTAGCCCGCGCGACACGAAGGGAGAGAGCCCTGATAAGCCCTACGAGCGTGACATACGTTCTTCTCTCCGGCGTGCCATGTGGCTCAGCTTCGCCTAGTAGTTCAACGCACCTGCCCGGTCTCAAGGCTTTAAAAAGCTCCTTCATGGCCTTGGACCATTCTGCACCGGTGAGCGCAGCGAGGAGTAGGGCGCTGGTGAACCAAGTCAGAGCGGCCAATCCACTCTTGGGGAGGTAAGCTGATGACATGATCCCCCGCGGGACCAGATGGGGAGAAGGCGTCTGAATCCATCCCAAGATTGTGAAGTCGGGGGAGATGCGTCGAGCGAGATCGGTAAGCCTGTTCAGTGTGTGTTTGTTATTGGTGACTGAAGAGAGGCTCAAAGCGCGTAGGCACCTGCACCTGTTCCGGAGTCGAGGACGGATTGGGCGGGCTTCGTCTAAATTGAACCACCCTGATGCCGAGTCGGAGGCACGGAAGTCTCAAAGGTTTGCTTAGAAAAGTCCAATATTTTCCCGAGGGACCTGAGTTTACTCAGGGATCCCGCTACAAACATCATTACGGCTCTTGTAGGGTGCTCTTCAGAGAATAAAGAACTTCCTCTCGTTATCCACTGGCATTTAAGGATCGGTTCCGACCATGATATGCGGCTATTTGAAATTTCGCATTAGCCTTAGCGTTAAGCGTTTGCTGCCGTGTAACAGGGCTGCTTGTGTTCACAATCAAAGCGCTACAAGATAAGTATGTTTATCAGCCTCATACTGTATACCACCAAATGGAGAATTCGGACGGAAGCTGACATTCATTATTTGAACTTGGGGCTGAAAATTCGAGTGAGTCGGGGTGAGTGACGAGACCCGATCGTTATTTACTAGTAAAAAACTTTGGATGCAAACGCAGAAATACTATCTACCACTTCGGCCTCGTTATCATAGAAAAACGCATGACTTCCGCCCTCGACGACATGAACGTCTAAATTCTTGTAATACGGCCTCATCTCTTCAACCACGACAGCTCCATTAACCTGCTGGTCGGCCGTACCGCTCAAAACCAGCATCGGAAGCCCGTCCCTCCCAAGCTCATAGAGTTTCTCTGGATTCTGCGGTCGCGAGACCACGTTGTTGCACACCTTTGGGGGCTGCAGCAGTGCGCTCCCGAGGCAGGACGTCTTGAAGCTGAATGGCACATTTTTGGGGTCGGTAAAGAGAGAGTCGACAAACGCAATGGTGGCCTTGGCATTCAGATTGACGTCGTCTGCTCTGAAGAGACTGGGGAGGAAGCCGAGGACGGTCGACGTTCCGACGCGTCCCATGATTGGTCCGATGAAGGGCAGTCCTGCTAGGTAGACCACTCCTGCGAGAGTGTCCTTGGGGAGGTGCGCTGCGATGTCGCATACGATGGCGCCTATATAAGTACGTGAGTAGGAGAACAGCACAGGAAAGGAGGGGGGGAGTTACACCCAAGGCTCCTGTAAGGATTGCATAAGTTTTATTGTCAATTAGGCCAAGTCAATACGTACCATCCGACAAAGATTGGCTTTGAGATCTTGAAGGCGCGCGCTACAGCCCTGAAGTCTTCTGCGAAGATCTCAGAGGAATAATCATCCAATGATTCCGGCATCGCGCTTCGCCCATGCCCGCGCATATCATATCTAACCTACAGGGAACTCCTGAGCCGAGAGTGCTCCAGATAATGAAAGGACGACGAACGAGATAGAAGTTTTCCGTCAACTTTGGATTGGCAAAGAGATTGTCAAACACAGCACCACTCAAGGAAAGGCCGTGAACGAAGACGAGGCACGGTTTCGTTGGATCGCCAGATGCATCGGCATAGATCAACGCGCCATCCTTGGAGGGAACGAGCTGAGCATTACTAGAAGTTAGCATGTTTGGGGTTAATGCAGTCCTTGATCAGCTCCCGCGACTATATTATGTACATGAGTTGCATGTAATTGAAACTGATGGATTTCAAGTCACACTCTCCGTTCACACCGGCGTCCTGGGTATAGTACTTGTCCACAAAATTTCGGTATAAAATAAAATTTTACCTATATCTGTTCCGAAAACAATAGACCAGGCATACCTGAACTATTGGTTTAGGTGTCGATTTCATGTCACGTCTGAAACCAATAGAATAGTTCCGGACTGTCTGAAACTACAGATCACATGATATCAGATGGTCCGGAACTATTGGTTTCGGACACGACCATGAAATCAGATGCTCAAGAACGTGGCACTAGATTTCGAAATTCTGACCGTGAAAGTTCCCATGTATAGCGGAGCGAAAGACAAACGGCATGGGCGCTCATGGGCGTCGGTTAGAACGAGTTGGCAATGCTTCAACCCGGGAGCAAATAGTAAGTAGCAGCAGAAGGGCATGCACTTTGTCCTGTACGGCCGCCTTGTGGAATAACTTCCACAACGCAAGACTAAGGACATGGGAGGATAAAATGAGACGTGCAAGTAGTACTTCGTACTTGCTTCGACCAGGGTTCGAAAGTTTAACAACTCGCTTGCAGCACAAATTAGGAAAGTAATTTGAAATCCGCGTTGATCCCGGCTTTTCTGCAGTTGTCAGTGACTCTCGGGCACCAGGGGATTCTAGGTGATTACGGGCGGACGGAAAGTATGTAGTTCAACGTCATACTCTTCTATCAGTCAGAGGTTGGGACACCAAGAAATTGCCGAATTTCTTTCTTACCCAAGGCGATATGTTGAGGCCGGACGGCGGTGAAAATCGTGGATACATATACTTGTCGCTTGCGAATGGCGTTACATGTATACCACGTAATAAAGCCCTCGAAGCATGCCTTCTAGTCCAACTATACCGCTGGTTCGCAGTAAGTTGTCTCTGAACTCTCGCTGAGAGCAGGGATTCAAGTTGTGTCTCGATAGCTGCAATTTATGTGCTTCCAGTTCTTGCTATAATCATCATCCTCTTCCGCCTATGCGTTCGCTACACCAAGGGGAAGCTATAGTGGGACGATGCTTGGGCATTTATCTCTGCCCTTCTGTCGATCATTTTCGTAGTTGTCGCACTCCTCCATGATGATGATCATCCTGGTAAGTTTCGCTTCATTACGGCAAGGTCGAGTTTCTCATAGTTTCCCTCAGTGTCACAGATTGTTAAAGTCGGTATTTACTATATGTAAGTGCTATCCTTCTAGTATGTATGCTGCGAACTAACGAATAACGGAATAGGTGTGCTCAGTTCTTCTAGTATGCCGTGATTTGGAAAGTGATGTCGAATCGACCTTGGACCGTATGTGTTGAACTGAACTTGCGCTTACAGGACAGCTCGTCTCTCCATTCTTTTTACCATAATTCGGCTTTCCATTGGTCGGATGAGACGGATACTCACCATCGTCTCGTTTCTTTTCTTCCTGCCGTGGATTGTTCTCTCTGCTCAGGTCTGGTGTGTTTGTGAGAGTAAGCCGGGATGGAAGGATGCGAAGCTTCCACAACTCCCGATAACATGTATCAGTCGACGATGTTTGGACTTTCATCCTCCTCCATTCCCCAGGAGGAATGAAGTTGTACCATAAAAATACTTCTTTTTTGACGTTAGCAACAGCCTCCGTCTCGTAATTGAAATGTGTCCAGAAGTTGTAGATGCTAATGTCGCACCCCCTTCCTGAACAAACTAGCTTGTCTTTCTCCCACGCTCGCGCCAGGAAACATAACGGACCATTCTCGTCACAGCCTGGTCAGAAGATCAAATTGAATGACCTCAGAGGGAGGACAGGAAAAAGGCTTAGCTTCTGGGGGGGGGAGCAAAACCGTTTCGTGTGGCTGTTAGAACAGGACTGTGTCAAAGCACCGGTTAAGGTTTACGTTGCAGAGGAAGGCGAGGATTATTTCTTATGCCGAAAGAGGAGCAAGAAGATCTGGGTGCCGAGAGTAAAAGTCATGCGAGTGTATTTAATACCAGTATCTTCAGGCCAGGATCCATCCAGTCAGACAGGTCACTAAAAATCGATTTCTTGTACACGCACATACATCATTACGTAAAAGCTCAACTACGGGCCATCCACAGTCACGATTCGATCAGGGTTTGATGGGTTGCAAAGCAGGTTGTTTCGCCATCTTGGCGGCCGACGTAAGGAGGAAAGAATAACTTGTTCCGTCGCCCTGTCCTTCATCAGACCAAAATACCAAAAAAAAGAGGGTAAAACAAAGCTCACAATCATTGTCGTAGGGAAACCAGGATCAAAAGGCACAGCGCTGTCCAAGTAATCGATCTGCTCTTTGGACAACGCAATATCCAACGCCTCTACGTTGGCCTTGAGGTGTTCCACTTTTCGGCCACCGATGATCGGGAAGACATAGGGTGCTTTATGCATCACGTACGCGATCGCCACTACACCCGCACTCATCAGAAATCGTTGGCACAAATCTAGGATGGGTTCCGACTCACCCGCCGCGACATTAGACCCTACGCCAACCTCACCCGCCACCTTCTCCAATGCTCTGGACGCCGTTATCTCCACCTCCGTACGTTCCCAATTCGGATCCCGCATTGTACGTCCCTTCTCTCCGGTGTCCCTCCGTCGCTGTTCCTCTGCGTCCGTTCGTAGCTTCCCTTGCCCGAGTACACCCCACGGAGACAGCGCCATGCCAAATGATTTAGCCATGGGGATAATGTCACGCTCAAACGAGCGATCCAATATACTCCATTTACCCTGGTAGACGATGAATGGTGTCTTCCCGTGATCCATAGCGTACTGGTTCGCTTGAGAGACGATCCATGCGGGGGTATCGGAGACCCCGAGATAAAGGACCTTCTGTGCGGCGACGAGATTGTGCAGACTGTCCATGACTTCCGGTATCGACGTCTCGTAGTCCCACCAGTGAAGGTATAGGATGTCGATGTACGACGTTCGGAGTTTCTTGAGACTCGCCTCTACGCTGATGTGCATAGACTTGGTGTTGTTCCCCACGTAATTGACCTTTTGTGCAACAGCGTCGTCCCCGCGCTTGTAGTTTGTGCTATACTGTAAAGGTGCCAAATCAGACCTTGAGCATGGAATAATAAATGTGTGCAGATTCCGGACATGCCTTCGTCGCAATGATCAGCTGATCACGTATTCCTCTTTGTTCCGCCCACTCGCCGATGAACTCTTCAGACGTCTCGTCCTGGCTGTATGATGTAGGATTCAGAAGAGGAATGGCGTGAAAGGGCCAGTAGCTTACTAGGTGTTCGCAGTGTCGATAAAGTTTCCGCCCATGTCATAATACGCGTCCAGGAGCTTGAAGCTAGATTCTTTATTCATCGATCCCATACCATAGGCCTCCCATTTATCACCGACACTCATAGCACCGAGTGCCAGAGGAGATACCCTCACCCCTGCGCGAGAGGACAGGACACGATAGATACCGAGCTTGGTAGGAGGATCGTTGGCGGCTGCGAAGAGAGACATGATGGGCTGGTTGTGATAGTACAATGACCGCTCCAGGCCATATTATATATGCGAGACAAGGTTATGTTTGTAAGCCTTGAGCCATCAGTCAGCAGCGGTGGTAGCTGGCGGCAGTGAGAACTGAGGAACGATTGAATGGAAGCAAAACTATCCAGCGAAACTCGCAGCCGATGGTCTACGCAATATGTTTCGGCAAGGAAACGATGACGAAAGCCGAAATTTGTCATTGTCTAGAGCAAAAACCATAGCAAACCGCCCCGCCTCATGCCTTCATTCTCACTTATCAAAGAGAATAAGGAAATAATTAGCACCGAAGAGCCCCACCCTAATCGTCATCAACGGATCACATGGGCGGTGGTCTTACCTCGACTTTTCGGACGATACGTTCATCCCACTGAGATCTTGCGTGTGGCCATTCTTGTTCCACCACTGTCCATTAAAGCTCAGGAATTTCTCGATGAGCCCTGGTTCGCAACTTGGGCCAAGCATCCACCTGAAGTCGTGTTATCGATGCTCGCGCATAAATCTCGGTGACCACACCAATTTACCGGGTTGGGGATGCTAACATCGCACCCAGATTAACCGGTCCGGTCGCATATCCGCCCACGGCTCGTGCTCGAGGAAACGCAAAGGACCGCTGTCGTAACAGTCTGGCAGGACAAGGGGGGCCTCCGAAGGTTTTGTGGAAGCTGACTTTGGGTCCTTCGAGAAATGATGGGAAGAAAGGATTCCTTCTGGCCTGAGATTAGGTTCGGTGAAGGGAGATTTGTACTACCGGGAGCGTTTCGTGTGGGACTGGGCGGAACTTTTGCCTCGAGCGAGTCAACGACTTCATGGGTGGCACACATCATTCGGTCGAGATAAAAGAACCGCCACCTGCACTCCGATTTGCCACAGCGAGAAGGACAAGTGTACATCGTCATAGATTGGGTCGTCCACAACCTGGAGAGACCGGTCCTGGCGCTTCAACAATGTCGAATGCGTGGCTTGAGTATTTTACTGCAAGGATGCTGCGTTATAATTTCCGGGGTTGATAGAGCTACTGGTCGTTGGTGTTGAGCATTTCATAGAAAGCTAGGGAACAGCTTGATAAGAGTACGTCCATCGCGAGGGAAGCGACGATTGGTCCATAGTGGGTGAGGGTGGATGCTCGATTTACAGTGATTCTGGTATTCAAGAGTTGTAGCTGTGGGGAGGCTAAGTATTGGAGTAAAAAATGAGCCAAGAAGGCAAGAATACAATTACTAACCGGGGGGGTTCACGATAAAATTCCAGCACAAGTCCATTCCAAACGATCCTTATTTTGCGTTAAGGTTTCCATTAGGCGACTCCTTCTGGGCCGGCATAGCAAACGGCGATGAACAAGGGTGTGCCGTCTGTAATATCTTTGTGTCTGTCTTCTGAATCGTCAGAGTCGAGCAGTAGGGCAGGAGAAGAAAGCCAATGGAACAGTCGCTATTAGTTGAAATTTAGCAGGCGAGGTTCTGATCAAAGTCACAATACTCACCATGTAGCCATTGCCTTCCGTCCATGCCGTCTTGTAACTCTTTGTTAGGATCGCAGCCCTTCCACAGTGACATTTCAACCGACCGTTGTGCTCGCCAAAGGAAACTTGATTTTTCGACATTGGAGAGGATGGCATGATGGTTTTGACGTTTGAACCCCCAAAACAGGGCCCGGCCATCGCTCAGATACGGCCATCACGTGACACCGTTCTGGCTCATGGCCACACTTCAGGACGCGGTGCAAAGTCTTACGCTGCACTCCTCTGAGAAACATCATGGGGTATCCATGTCATCGTACGACTTCTTTGACGATTCCTCCTCGCATATCAGCCGCCGACCAGAAACGTTCCCCTCATCCATCGATTTATTGACCGATGACCAAGTCAAAGCGCTCATTGATGCAGCAGTGAGTCACAACAACGCGATAGGGATCAGACACAACCCAGGCATCAGCTGGATGCCCACCACCGCATGGAGAATCGCCCCAGACGCCGCCGCGAAGAAAGCCAATCCTCACGAACCGTACTTGATGACATACGTCGCCTCACGGTCGACATCCATCCGCGTTCCAAACGTGCGGCGCATTCTTCCCATGCACAAGAAAGAATCATTGCCGGGCCATTATTCGATATGGCTTGTGATGGATGGACTATCGACGGTGATGAAATGGAGACGGCATGGCCAAAGATGAGCTGGTGGAATCGTTTGTGGACTGTATGGAGGCTGCGGAAATCCGTTCGGGAACTGCACCGGATTCCTATTCCCAGACCCAACGTCCCAGGCCCGTTCGATTCCACTGGTAAAGCTTTGGCTTGCAGCGGATATTATTTCACCGAAACCGGGGCGGGGACCTTTCGAATCGTACAGCGCCATGGCAGACTGGTTCGACCATCGCCGCTACTCCCTCCTCGTAGATCTGCATATGAACTACGGGAGTTTCGAACCACATTTGTATCCCATGTTCGACATTTCCCATCCTCTTGTCCTATGTCATATGGACCTTAATATGCGCAATATTATCGTGGACAAGAGAGGTGACGTGTGGATAGTCGATTGGGGCATGGCCGGCGCGTTCCCTCCGTGGTTTGAGTACACCAACATGGTTTTATTTGCAAGGGCTGCCATAAAAGAACGTCGTTTGCCAAAATCATGGTCGCTTTTTGCGCCTTTTATTGCTGGTTATTATCAGTGGTACGAGGCAGAGTATCTTCGTCGTCTGGAATATGCCTTTTGTAGATCGTGGCTTGATCATCCGAAAGGATATTTTGAGAGGTTGAGGTTGGATATCACGTATCGACGAGTCCATTGAGTGCTACACATAGATGTTCGAATTCTCTACCATCCACGCAACTTGCGTCGTGATGGGCGACGATCGAGTTCCAGCTGCACATTTCCGTCTCTTCCTTCAGATCAAGGGTAGGATGGAATCGATTATGCTGAACTCGTTTGGAGCAACATCCCAGGGAATAACACAGCTTTATATCACCCTGTGTAACTTTCCATTAGCATGAAGATCCCTGTTCCTTCCTCGCAGGGCACGTTCTACTAGCATATACTTACATGTTACTTACAAGATTGCCGTGAATACCCGTGTATCCATGTTGCTGTAATGAATCTCTGCACACGCCATCGTCGTGACCGTGAAAAGAATGCAACTTCGGTGACGTGAGGCTAGTATGACGTGGTCAGAAGCAGAGCTCCCGTTGTTCCTCATACCGGACAGAGGAGTGCAAAGCGTTGTGTGATGAAGTGGAGGCCGCGGTTGTTCAACACGGAGAAGAATGAGAGGTGATGTGAGGTGATAGTTGGTCCGGCTCGGGTAGAAAACGACGTGTCAACTGACTTTGTGCAAGTTCCAGAAACGGTTCCGTTCCAAGAACTGACTCCAGTTGGACGGACAAACAGGTTATTCAGCCCTCGGGTCCCTCGACACATCGCTTCCCCGACGATTTCATTCTCTCCTGGAGTCTCCTCTACATGCACGATAAGATAATAAATATCAGATGCTTTCTCTTTCCTCAGATGTCAAATGCCAAGCACCTCGGTCAGGCTCTGCTCACACGGCCCCAAGAACACGAAATCTGCTTCATCGGCATGATTGCCCAGTTCGACATTGAACAAAGCAACCTTGCCCCCACGGGCCTTGACTCTTCCTCCAATCTTCGACGCGGGCTGAACCTGAACGGTCGGTCGGCGTGAGCATAATGATCTTCAGCACACAGCGCTGGAACATACAACAGCAGAGGTCCCCACTATGATACAGAGATCAGCCTCATCAGCTAGCCGCATTATCTCATAAATGCGATGCGGTCGTTCGCCAAACCATACAACTCCAGGCCGACAGAGTTGGCCACATTTCGGGCATCGAGGGAGGTCCGACCGGCGCACCATAGGTTCAGGACCGCCAGCTCCAAATACGAGCTCAGTGCCTTTGAGAGCCGGACAGATTGGAGAGTTGTAGTTTGTTTCGCGAAAGTCGCAGTCATGAGCGGTACAGACAACGTCGAAGAGCCGTCCGTGCATCTCTATGGGATACGGGACATCTGTCTCGTGGTAATCCTTCATGGTTTCCTCGAGAGCGCGAGTGCACAAGCCGTCCACATTCTGAGTAATGTGCGTAAACTTGGAATTGGGAGAGATGCTCTGGCGAATGCGTGGAATGGTCAATGGAGCGAGAATGTAGTGAGCGGCATTTGGAGCAACATTAAGGACTCTGGTAGTGACAAAACGATGCTGCGAGTGAACACACCACAGGATGAACCCGTATGAGTACTCACTGTTCTCGCCTATAATGAAAGAACTGCCAGACTCGAGCTTGATTTTCAGCAAAAGCTGAAGGGGTGGCTAGAGATGCCGAGTCATATTTACGCCAGAGGCCCCCGCTACCTCTAAAAGTGGGAATTCCTGAAAAAAACTGTATCAGTTGTAATTCACAAACGACAAACTACAACCTAAGGCAAACCAGAAGCTACGGATAGACCAGCACCAGATAATACTATAATTTTCTCAGACGAAGAGAGGATTTGTCGAAATTCTTCGACGTTGGATGACATGGTGATTTGGGCTGGCGAACCCGTGGCAAATTCGAACACGCGTCCGTCGCGTGAGCACGACCGCACAGCCATAACGTGGATGCGCTTGCCTATCAGGGCGTTGTCTTATCATCTCGCGGTTCATAAGCCACCCACTTTTTATCTCTCGCGGCGCCAGTATACGGAGCGACATGAATATCCAGACTCATCGCGGAATACATTTCCAGCAAGCTGCTGGGCTTCAAACGCCTGCACCATCGCCGACTTCGGTACTAGTATTGATGTCTCTCCCCTAAGCTGGAGCATCGAGACAAACCAGCCGTTCGTGCCGCTGTGGTGGCCGAACGTGCAGGTGAAGATTTTTCTACCCCTTCCAAATGATGATCGTCTTTCACGAAGACTTCCCGTCAAGACTCCTGGCCAATCCACCTTCACTTAATCTCAAGCCGCAACTCATGGTTTTGTGCAATACTACCGCTCGAGAACTCTTCTTTCGTCGCAGAATCGAAATGGGGCAAGTGGTGAAACACTGGCCTTATAAATTCTGTGTTGGCGTTGAGGTCCCAGACAACCAATACCAACACCATCATGCTGCCTTTCCTCCAAAATGACGCATGTCCTGGTGTTACCATAGAGCGAATACGCATTGACGATCTTTTTCACTTTGTCGCCGGCACCCTCATATACCTTCCTACTCAGGGGCTGCCATTTGACTCTAGCAGCACACAAGCGTTTTCGGAGGGCACCCTCATCTCCACCACGCCGGATTGTGTTAGCCAAAAAAGTCCTGCCCACTTTGCTATCCTAATATCTATCGATACAGACTCGGTGGTCTTCCCCGAGCCTTCTACCTCCCGCCGAGCGCCGAAAGAGGCGTACCGTGTCACATATTTTCCGATTGTCTCATACTCTCATGGAAACTATCCCAACATGGATGCTCTGTTGGATGGCCGCCCCGTTGGCGATTATCACCTCCCTGTGGCTCACAGCCAGGACATCATCACTCCACCCCCTTTCCCTACCGACAACACTTACAGCCACCCCTGGGGCCAGGTCGTTTTGGACTGCGAAGCCCGGAGAAACCCAATAGCTAGGCGGTCTTGGATAATTGCGCAGAGGGTTCAAGGGCTGTACCCTTCTGAGATGAAGGTTAGCACATATTTACAATCTTTTTTGGGGGGCGATGTTGATATTTTTGAGCACAGATCCGCAGGGTCGTAGGTGTCAAAGCGTCTTTTCTAGTCATCCAAAGAGTTTGGCGCCTTGCTCAAGAACTCTCCTCTCCAGCTCTACGGCTGTCGGGTTCGGGTCCCAGTGGGCAGGGCGATGTTACTGAAGGAGATTCTGAATGGATTGGGCATGAGGCTGGGGGTCACCGTGAGTGCGTCAGCCCCTACACGGTGTTTGGAGGGGGCGGCGAGGACAGTGGAGACTGGGACGTCGACGACTACGATGAAGGTGAAGGCGATCTTGAATGGTTCAACAGTTTCTTCTCTGCAAGGATTGCACAAGATGCGGTTCGACGTAGTCGTTCTGTCGTTGCTGGCTGGCAGGAGCGGAATGCACGACGGGCCCTTTAACAGGTCATTGGTGTTGAGGTCTTCTTTGTTCTTGTGTTGACTCTTTTGTGTCGGACCCTCGGAATGAATTACATGGCGCGTATTGTGACTTTGTGTATTATTCGGCCTATCATGATATCCTCTCATCTCATAGCGGTATTCTACCTCTAGCTGAAGCACTCTCTATTCTGAATAGAATAAAAATCCTCCTAGAGTTTTGTTACGCTTGCATGAAAGGACAATGTACAAAAGGTCGGTAAGAACTCGGACAAACGGCGACAAGCTCTCTACGCTACATGCACCACCGGGGTTTCGATTCCTTCGAACCGCTAGGTTTCTAAGAGACCTCCTTTGGTCGCAACATCGAGAATCAGGTTCTACAGCTAAACGACAAGGGTTGTGGATGTTGAGCTGAGGGTATCCGAGTTGCAGCATTCTTAGCAATCCATTTCTGCGATATACCGGCGAACCTACATTCTCTATCTCGTACGCCATTTGCGACGCAACATGTCACGACGACGCAGTGATACTAACATTCAATGTCGCAATCCTTCGAGATATTCCAACTGACGGTGCTCTGATTATGGTGAGACTAGCTCAGCCATGCACAATTGCGTTCTGCGAAAAAGGCGTGGACGATGAGCAACGAAAATGTTGTTGATGGTCTGTCCAGAATGGAAGCATCAAAACTCAATGATTGATTCGTTGTAAATACACAGATGTAACACGGACAAGTAAACAAAAAGTTACGGCCACATAGCCTGTTATGTGTCACCTTTTGAACCGTAACCCTGAAATAGAACAGATCTGCTGTTCACCTAGCCTCTTGATCATGACGACGGTACTCTTGACCATGAGCGTCACGGGATACAAAGCTAGTTAGTGATATATCAGAGTCTGAGGCATCACGGCCTGCCTCGAGGTTCTGTTTGAGGCGACATGCCTTTCTTTGGTCCCTCCGGAGAAGAAACAGTATGAGAGTTGTCCAAAGGACTGCGCAAAAATATAAGAGTGCGAGTTCATCTATTAGTAAAATCCAGACTTACTCAAAAAGACTTGAAGAACTGGGGTAGCAAAGTGTTAGAATCAGGCGCACATCCGTCACGATGCTAAGACATACCAAGCGAATAGTGATAACCCTTTTCCGCCCGAGGAAAGTCGGTGGTTTTCCAGACAAAATTGGGAGCAATTGCTCCAACCACAGTTGCAAGGTCATTCGAGAGTGCTATGCAGAGTGCTCTGAGTTCGGTCTGAAACAGTGTGAGTGATATTATCCACCACTCCGAAACGATCATCTCTCACATCCACCCCAGTGATTTCGGTGATCCAGTTCAGGATCAGCGCCCCAGCAGGCCCCTGAGTTGCTCTTGTTAGATACCTTTACAGGCGGTAAGGAAAGACGTACGCTGATTGCCGTCAAATAGAAATAGGCGAAATGAGCGGGAATGTTCTTGTATAACGGCATCGAAAGCCAAACGGTGTTCAAAATGAGGTGTATCATGGCGCTGTAATAAACAATCGGATATCTGCGCCCTGTAGAGATGGTTAAAAAGGCACCGATAACTAGAGCAGGTCTGTTTTGCGCACCCTTTAAGGGGCCATCACTTATGCAAGCAAACGTGAAGGCGCAGATGATGCCGATTACGGTTGCCGGGTGCGGGACTAATGAGGAATGTAATCAGATAAGCACCAATCAAGTTTAGATTAAAATTGTCGCACGTAGCTGAATCTGGGTGACGCTAAAGTGCTTCCCAGGAACCGGCGGAGGATGCGAGTTGAAGCTCTTCAGCCAGTATTGTAGGGGTGATGAGATACCACCGTTGGCACACAGAACGTATTCAATGGGTAAGATCCAGATATACCAGGAGCTGAAGATGCGACGCAGCTACCATTTACGTATCAGTATAAACATCAAAACACTGTAAAATAGTTGTGAACCTTTTCTCGTGACCACGGTTCAGTCTCCTTGCGACCTATAGCCCTCATTCTATCGCACGCCAGAGCTATGTCCTAGGATGATTGAATAAGAATACTTGATCAGACAAAACTTATCTCTAAATAGAGACGCACGTCCTGATTGAGGACGATGGTAGGTTTCGCATTGTAAGGAAGATCTGGAAGACAAAAGAATCCGAGAAGCGCAATAGGGAATGTGCTTCCTTTCGTGTTAATGCTTTCCGAGCTTGCAGTAGCAAAGCCAAACGCACATGGAGGCATCTATAATCATCAACCATCTTCGAATGTGTAAGAATATAGACAAATGCAATTAGTCTGACAGCTTACCGCCACCCGGCCAGCCCATGTACTCCGTTCAAAGTCTTGTAGGTGGCAACTTGCAGGAAACTAGAGGACGCTGATCCAATTGTACCGGCGATACCGAAAGCAACAGCTCTCTTGGCCAGCTCACGGGGAGTATACCTAAAGAATGACATTCAGAGAGCTATTATTCCCGATAGATACAAGAACGCACCATGAACCGAGAATGAAGTGCATACTGATAAAGATATTAGTAACGACCGCATTTAAATTCAAAACAAACATACCCGGGATAGAATCCGCTTTCAAACAGACCGACTATCACCAAATGTGAGGGTGGGCACCGGAAAAGAATAGATTATGACGAACCTAGAAATCTGATAGCAAAGAGTTGGTGAACATTCTTCACTGCAAAGGTTCCTAGGGTAGCTAGGCCCCACGCGAGCTCGAGCTGATCATAAACATTATGGGTATACATACTGTACCGGAAAAGAACGACTGACAACAGGAATGACGTAGCGGGGAGACACCCTTGTGAGAAGTAAGTTCGATGGCACTTGGCCAACAACATAACTGCCATCGCCGACAGAATCAGCCAGCCATATAGGGCTAATATTGGTTGTACCTACCCAGCAGCCCAGCAGGAGGAGAGGTGCACAAGTTGGTTCCCGTACATTGATCTAAATTATATCATGAGAGCCGAAACAGCCAAAAGAGATCGTCGGCTTACAAGTCTTCACGCATTCCAGCAAAGTACTGCACGGATATTCAAAATTCAGTGCCGAGAAGAGATTCCATGTGAAGCACATGGCTCACTGCACTGGACACATTGCTCTGCATGGAGATTTGATTAAAGAACATTCTCCTGCAAGGCCATACTATGCTCACTTGGTCCAAATTCTTGATGAAATATCCCAGCTTCCAGAGCGTCAGAATCCTCTGTGAGAATAGAGAAAACGACGGACCGAAGCAAATATGAGGACCGACACGTCAATTTTGAACAAGAGACGTCTCTCCACAGAATATGACGAAGGCACCAGACGCTGAAAGATTGACTTTTTCTGCTTGTCGCTGTCAATCACTTCAGGTATGGATCCTACCAAGGTAGCATTTGAAGCCATGTCGACCTGATGAATGGAGTGTCCTTTGTCGTTCATTTTATACTCCCCCGCAACCGATAGCCACCTTCGTGCCCGTGCTAATTTCATAGTTCTGGTCGCTTCCATAGCGAGAGAGTGCACTGCTAAGAAGACTTATTTCTGTTTAACCTGGGGCTCATAGAATAGCTTTACGTATCCTTCGAATGTCTTTCAAACAAGTCCTGGACGTCGCGGTGAGCGCATCCCTGTATAAATGGCAAGTTAGCTGCCACGGCCTCCTCAAAGCACTACCACAAAAACCGAGAGAAAAAGAGCATAAAGTCCTGAACATAATTAAATCCCCCTAGTAATAGCCAATATTTATTGGGTTTTAAAGAGGAAGAAAACAGGCTGGCAATCACCTGGTGCCGCAAAAAAAAACACTCGCCGTCGACTCGAGCTAGCCAACTTGGAACTCTGCGGCGTTACTTCCGCATTGCAAACTAGAAGTAGACCATTACTCTTGGTTCATGTTGTGATGAACTTTGATTTCAGAGCGCGATAGTACAGAAAGCGTCGACCAAAGTAGCTTGATGTCGAGAGGAACCCGAGATAGTATGTCACTGTCAGTGTTGAAAGTGGGTGCTCGGCCCGTTATCCGTCCTTGGCAAAAATGGTTATGAATCGTTTCAAGCGACCACCAAGGCCATTAGGACTCGGCAATGACTACTGCAACTACTTCACGAGTGCAACAAAGAGGAAAATATATTCAATGGCAGTTATCGAGATGTTTCCCAATAATACCCGCTGTATACGTCAGACTCCGTTTTGGGGGCTCTTACCTCGTTCTTCGTTCTGCAGCTTTCATGGATACCCTTCCGAAGCTCTGATGCTAGCTCGGCCGTTTCTCGGACTTGACTCTGGGCCAATGCCTGCCTGATCATTACTGTCTGGACTCGTTCATGAGTACATTTGGAGTCAAGGCGGAACGTTCTTCGTCATAACAGAATCCGTTGTAGTCCAAACGATGCTCTTTCCATTCAGTAGTACGGTCACAAGGGTCAGGAAGCCTGATTCTTGGTTTCTAACCACATTGGTGCCCATACCAAACTCGACGAATACTCGTAGTCGTGGTGTCTTGGGTGGTGTACGGCTTGAAGGTTTATTGAAGCTGGTAAAGTTCACAACGAACAGAGAGAAAGACACTGTTTTCGTCTTTATTTAGAATTCTCTGCTGAACAAATATGTTTCAGTGTAAGCATATCAGTGGACGACGGATGCCCATGTCATATCATATGGGGCCTTCGGCGATCCGGTCTACTTTTACCGCTCGTTCGCGCTGATTTCAACAGGGAGAGGATGGATGATCCAGAAGGGTCTGACCGAAATTTAGTCACGCCCAGCTGAAAAGACAGTGTAGAAACCAATGGACCTCTTTGCTTGTAACAACGGATGTTTAGCTCTATTGTCAATTGTTTTCACTGAAAAAAGATTGAAGATGAAATGGCCCTACTGAGGCATAGCATCTACTTGGTGATGCTGTCGGTTCACTATGCCATATTGAACTGTATTCTCTTCAAGTTCTGGGGTTGCTTCGATAAGTCGTAGAACGTAGTTGTTAAATTCCGAGTCAATAAATGTTTTGATTGCACTGCTAGTCAACCATGTCTGGCATAGCTCCACGCTGTATTCCCTGCAAATTTTGGTCATTTATTGGTATTTCTGCGACCGTCAAGGAAGTAATTCCTAGTATGTTTTCTGCAGCCCTCATTAACGCCATTGTCGATGAAACATCAGGGAGTTCTAGGAAGGGCCTGCTTATTTGGCCCCCAAGTATCTGCGGTGCACCGCTATAGAATACTACTTCTGATCGCATATCATCAGGTATGTGCCAGATTCATCCACTGCGCTGCATGACAACGAGATTTGCCTAGCGGCACTTTATCTCGTGTTATTACAAGGCTACCGACGAAAGCGAAGGAGAACTCTTGTGTCAAATCAAATACATGGGCCATCGCAGAAGTACTATAAGGACCAAAATGTGAGTATATTTCCACAGTGATTGAGTGCCACTTTTACGAACAGGCGAAACAAAGAGGACTTGCAGATAACAACGAAGTGGGAAACTAATTTCCTCCCACACTCGATTGACTTAAGGTCATAGTGATGCCAAGGTAATATACTGCCACGACCCTTTATTCTTTATATAACAATAACAGCTCCGCAGGTCCCAAATATATAATACTTAGACTGAGCATCACGATCTCCCCACAGAGGAATTCGCAGTCCGAATTTCCCAAGCATCCAGAACAGAACTCAAAATCGCGTTCTCGATACCAACACACCAATCCCGGTGGCGCATCCAGTTACCCGGATTATACTCAACATTCCCAAGAGAGACGTCACACCCGCATCCCAAACACACAACCTTGTCCCGTTCGACCCTGTCTGCGTCAACCCAAGGCTCACACCTGAGGAAAAGTCGCCTCCGCTCCGCATCGTTCCGGCTGAAGCGATAAAGTGGGCTCTCGAACGTCTTCAGGAAGCTCACTTCGGGACCGTTCTGCGACACCAGGAATGTCTCTTTTTGATATATGCTGAGTACCCGTGGGGGCGGGCTGTGAAAGGATGAGCTCTAGCTTGGACTCGGTAAAGTGGCACTGACCAAGATCCTTGGGGTTGGGGTTGGAACGGTAATCCTTCGTGGACGGCGATCATCATTCGGATAGGGTAAGAGAATCGCCACCTGCACCTTCCGTGGCCACAGCGGCACGGGCGGCTGGTTTGTCTCGATGGTGCACTCCAGCCTGAAGGCGACTGTAAGGTAGAAGATGTTTCGGGAACAGGTGCTTGAATCTGAACATTCATGGCTGCTCCATATGCTGGTGCCGAATGATTCGTGAAAGATATCGAGGAATTCGCAGGGACAAGCTGGCTCGCACCAGATTGGTAAGATGTAGGATAGCCTAGTCCGTTCATCGTGGAAGGAGAAGCGGGAATGGATGCAGTGGGTGACTATCATAGTCCGGATTGCTTTTAAGTAGGTCTGCGCAGAGGGACAAAGCCAGACGATTAATGGTGGCACCCGGACTTGTCTTTGTTGCGCGCCTCAGACCCGCCTCCCCTGTTTTGTCCTCCCACATGCTTTGGCAAAAATATTGTCAAGTAGACGAGTGCGTAGCAGGGGATAACAGCTCATAGAGCAACGTCCTAATCTTCGGGAACGCAATATTCTTCGACTCTCTTTGCGATCATCCGGAAATAGTTTTATCTGCACTCATGAAGGATGCCACCCTCGGTGTTCGTCGTCAGCCGGTGCCAATGGCGGTCAGAATTGGCGTGGTCAGATGTAAAACGAGCACGGCCGACAGGAAGAGAACACTCTCCGCAAGGAAGGCGATTGATGTCTCCGTGAGTTCTCTGTTTGAATAAGGGACGGTGGGAAAATACCAGACGTAGTATGCTCGTTGTCGGGTATAGAGACCGGTTTCGACCTCGAGGACAAGAATAGCGTGGTATGGCTGATGCACCCTTGAACGTTAGACACAGTATCGATGTCCATGTCGAACTGCCTACTGCACGATTGAATTGGAGCTGGAAAGATAGTCAAACCTAAACATACTAACCACACGCTTTCTCGCTGGTACTCTCAGCTGTATGGCTGCTGGCAGTCGAGAAGGAAGGTGAGGAAGGAGACATTGTAGTTGGGGCTCAAAAACGAGACATTATATCCTGTAGATCGGACTGGGAATGGCGGTCTCGAAAGGTGTGTGAGTCGGAGAGACCGTTATTCTGTTCACGTGTCCGTGACATGTCGCGTCTATTTGTCCTTTTCTTGACGACATTGGTCAATGTCTCGTCTGTCATAGCACCGACAGGAGTTTCCAGAGTGCATATAACTTGAAAGAAGGATACGTTGGTCGTGGGACGACAGAGAGAGCGGCCTATCGTTTTGGCAAGTTGCAGAAAATGTTGGTTGACAGCGAGACAATAGACAATTCCTTGCGGCTGAAGATACTTGCTGAGTTTGAGAAGATGGATGTTGATTTCATCTGGAAGTTTCATATGAGGATCGACTCCATCTCACAAGCATAGACCTTACCCTTCACGACGCTATCAGTGAGGATAAGATATCCAGACAGCTGCGTAAACTATGGTCTGGCACTGGCGAAATCCCTCGGAAGGCTGCCGCCATGCTACCACCAATGTGTCGCCACAAATGCGAAACGTAAGAGGGAGAGGCTACACGGTGAATTGTTCACGTCTTCTCAGGGAATTATCTCTCTCCCTTAGAATTCCGTCCTTATCCACGGTCGCAGAGAAGAGAAGTATTAAGAGTAATATCCGAATGTCATAGGGATGGGTTAAGGTCGTAATGAGAAATTTTGCGTTCGAAGATGCTGGCCTGTGACTGAATGATAAAATATCCTAGGTAGTCTGTATTCGATTGTCGTTGTCTGTACAGATGTTTAAGTTAAAGCGGTGTGGAAGGAAACCTGACACACACCTTCGCAGAAGCACGACTCGGACTATTAACTTCAGAAGCATACCTACCCAAACATTGATAACCTTCGCCCAAAGATGCATGCCTTTCCAATTTCCCTTGAGAACATGGTCCTCGATGTGCTACGGGCGCACAGGAGAAAGGCTGTACCTTTGTTCCAATGAACGATGACATGAAGGGTAGCAGTGCGAACTCAGAATATAGAGGCTTGAAGAAAATCAGATAGTCGGTGATCCACTGGAAGAAAACGAGTTCAAAATAAAGCAGCCGGCACGATGAACATTCTGTATCGCGATGTTTGTCGAAAGTCATGGCGGGCCGAATATAGCCGACGGCCCTTGCCGTCTTTGCCGCGCACACCTAAACTACGTCTTCTCTATTAGTATTTTTGCCTTCCTTGGCTTTATTATCAGTGCTACAATATCTACCTTCAATTAAATCACAAGCCATGCAAAAACATGCTGCAACGATGTAAAACACATTGTGCTGCGGAGATCCTGGTAGTTGCGCCTCCCAAATTCAACAAGGTCCTTGACAAGAATTATCGGTCTCCATTCAATTCGTGCTGGGGTCACGTACCTCAAGAAGACTCAAGAAGAGATGGTCGCATTTGGAGGACCTTTGTTCTCTATGGAGTCGAGCCGAAGTGGTGCGTATTACGGCTTTCTTCTACTAGCGATACTACGTTAAGCATAGCCCATTACAGAACTGCGACTGACTGCGACTGCCAGCTCTGGTCGCCAATACTTCTGTCCCATCCTTGTACCAAATTTTCCTCACTCTTCGTTCGCTCTCCTCATTGCCTTCCAAGTATGGAATTAGGCTAAATCGATGGATTTTAATAAGCAATCCTAGGGCTGCCATTTGGCCTTGGGCCTTGACATGGAGATCATCGCTGTTCGTGCTGAGGGTCCCGCAGGGAGAATCAGGGCCTTCAACAAAGGCCTTTAGCTGGTATTCTCCAAGTATCGCTTACGGAACTGGAGACTGGGTGTCACTTGACACGAGAGGATACGAATATTATCATCTTCCGTATGTCGCCTTCTTTTCGTTAGCTTACTAGAAGTCATTGAGTCCTCTCTTCCAGATCTCGTCCCCCTCCCAATCTTATCACGCGTCCTAGCCCTCTTTGAGGTCAGAAAGACCTTCTCGGAAGTTCAAGCAGGCTTTTGGTGTACGTGGCTCTCCGATTTCCCTTCATTTTTGATTGACTCTGGTACGACAGATCCTCACGCTATGGCAATCTACCATGTCCACGGCACCAGCATGCCCTGCGGTGTTCTAATACCTGGCTCAAGGCCTTCGGTTGTGTCCACGCACGACTGAAGGAGCAGTCGTTTCCCCAAAACGGCATACATGGGGCTTCAGTGTAGCTGTATATATGCGACTATTTGCGGCTCTTCAACTCGATCCCTTGGAGGTGGCTGGTTTTTGATTACGACCTGATTCTGGAGTGTTCACGACGCTTGCTCTCAGACCACCAGTGTGCGTCCGTTTTCTAGTTTGCTCTATTGATAATCACTTTAGCAGCCTGCGATCCGGATCAACAACATACTTTCCATTGGTCTAGTCGGGCGTCGTCGATCTGTGACGTGATGGAGCGACGATAAGTACTCATTCGTTTCTCAGAGCGCAAGGATATTTGATATCGAAAATCTGGGCTGGGAATCAACTCACCTTTCTTGCAAACTCGATGGATTTGCAACATTCAGTATCAGAGTATAACAGTGTCCGATCCATCATCAAGTCAATTGTGATATGAAATCAGCCTTGTACGTCGTCCTTTGTGAAGGGGTGACAAGGTGAATTCAATTCTGATGTACTCGCATGTTTTGCAGATTTGCATGTTCCCAAAGCACGGATCACAAAGGATGACATTGATTCACTGGCGTCTACAACGTTGTTTGCACGAAGACTTCGCAGCAACACGTAGAAATCGACCTGTAAGTTGCAACACCGACCTGCCTCGATGCAAATACGCCTTGGTTCCGCACTCCCTTGACTGCATATCCATCCGAGCCTGGAAAATGGGAAACAGTATGTATTGTTAGTCCGTTTCGTTTCGAATACTCATCTCGACCACGTTAGCGTCGTCCAAATTATTATACCAATTACTATGCAGCTTTGTGGTTTCGATTTGGAATCGCATGTGCTCTGTCCTTTCGACTGCCCTGACAATGGCAGACTCATCTCCCGATGAAGCGTCCGAGCTTGACGAGAATCAGACCGCAAACGTACCATCCGAGTCTCAAGAGGTAATATTACACCAGAAAGCAGTTCTACTGAAGATGACGATCCTATCGTGCAGGATATCCCGCAGTCGTCCTTCAGCTTCCATCCAGAACGACCCTCCGAATTATCAATTGTGGGATCTGCTACAGCCATGATTAACGACCATCTGGCCGGTGATATTGCGCATAGTAGCGATGCGTTCCCCAGTCCTGGTGATTATGAATTTCACTTGCTGGCAAGAATGTCGAGGGTAAGTAAATTAACCGAACTGAACACAAGTTTATAACACATATTTCTGTACTTCCGCAGTGTTATGGAACCTTTCTCACTTCCTATACTGAGGCAGGCCGAGACGAATGGTCAATCAAAATTCCATTGCAACGGGCTTACACTGGGACAAAACCTGCTATACCATCCTCCCTTGCCGACACACCCTGCGCTACTCTCGGTGTTCAGGGCATCTTAGATGAACTGAATGCCACACTCGGAACGTCGTACACCCTGGACATACCGACCCTCTCTTCCGTTCTCGAAGACTGCATCAAGAGTGACTATGACTTTGGCACTGCGTATGGCCGCCTCCGTTGGGCATGGGAGAATGATATTTATCCTGAGCAGCCGCATGAGTGGACCATCCGAGATAGATTATGCAGAAGTGAAGATTGGGACCGGGAGGAACGACGAGGAGCACTCGTAGGGAACCGGATCGTCAACGTGTGGTTGCCTCCTCGACGTGTCTGGGATCTGTGTGCTAATCGGGTGGTACCATGGTGGAGCATCAGAGGGAATATTAACAACTGGCCTCGGCCGATATCGCATGCGTGGGTAGATGTGAAGGATCGCGTTGAAGTTTGGACGGCCATCAATGGGAAGGAATGGCCCGTACCCATCCCAAAAGACACCAGCCTCGACCTCATCCGGATCGAGATGCTGAATCTGGGAGCGGAATACGCGTGGTTGGATGTCCTCTGTTTGAGACAGGAGGGCGGACTAAGGGACGATCTGCGTGTGGAAGAGTGGAAGTTGGACATGCCCACGCTCGGATGCGTGTATAACGAGATCCAAGCAAGACCAAAGGTGGTGATCTACCTGAGCGGGCTAGGGCGCCCTTTGAGCTTGAAGGCGGGCGATTTGCAGAATGATCGGTGCTGGTTTAGGCGCGCACAGACGCTACAGGAGATCGGGGACTCTGATAGGATCATAGCTGGGGATACACCTGACGGACCGCTGCACCGTGTCAAGCAAATAGAAAAGAAGGAAAACTCCAAGGGGGAGATGCTGAAGGGCTTTCACTCGTATCTGAGGTCCTTTGAGCAAGAGCGACGTCAGTATCCGCATATGATTCAGGAATCTGTTCAGATTCACCTAGATGGGATGGATAGGTCGATAACTATAAAAGCCAGCCACTTGGCCAGTCATCGATGGTGTAAACGTGTATGGACACTGAAGGAAATTAGCAACGAGAAGAAGGAGATTGTTGAGGGAGATACACCCAATGGCCTGCTGCACATCAAGCCGATGGATGGGGGGAACTATGAAGACGAGGAGATACTAGCAAAGTTTCACGAACAGCTGGAGTCGCTGAACAGTGAACGAGGTCTGTTTGGTTCGCTGGCGAGCATGCAGAAGCGGGTGTCGACCAACCCAGGAGAAAAAGTCGCAGGCCTAGCATTTTGTCTACTGTTCAATGAGTTACCAGCATATGATGGGAATCAGCCGCCTGAGGATGCATGGAATGGCCTTACGAATACAATGAACGCATGGCAACGATCTGGCCTGTTCTTCCTCTATCCTGAACCAGGAAACGCAAGCAAGAAATGGAGACCATCCTGGGACCAAGTCATGACACGGCGTCTACCAGCAGATAGCAGGTCTTTGGTGGAGCTTAACTGCGATGACAAGGCAGATGTCGACTGGTACAACGGGTTCTGTATCGGAAAGGCATTTGTACGGGGATTGTCTGTGGGATGCACGGAAGGGGGTGATCGACATGGAGAGTTGATTGTCAAAGACGCACATGGGTCAACACATATGTTCACAATCATCGCCACCCACCAGTACCCGATACCTGAAGACACTTATGCACTGCTTGGTAGCTATAGCGAGCCGTTGAAGTCCAACGGTGCCATGCAATATTGGGTTGTTGGCCGACTACTGCCAGAGCAGAGGTTTGAGAAACTGTCGGTGTTCAGAATGACTGACTGGGATGAGATTGTGAGGCTGGAGAGGCTGGAGATCGTAAAGAAGAATGTCAAGACTTATCTTCTTTGATAGGGTGTGGCTTCTTAGAGTCTTAGTATTGTTGTATGCTCGCGACATGCAATGCTACTGTGGACACTGCCGTGTAATGTTACATATCTATATATCTACCTACCTACTTATCTTTTAGTCATACAGCAGCATTAGAGGGAAGAAATGTAAACTCTGGGATGTAACTCATCCTCGGTATATCATTATTAGCATTTCAGTATTGCACTAGGAAGTTAATTGTGAGCAATGAGTATTTGGAGAACATTGCCAAGGAAAAGGCTCTGAGGGCTCGAATTCGGAATATTTGCTGGTATCTGACGCCAGTATTTTTTTTACCATGCCATCTACAGCTGCGCCAGATATGTAGTATCGTTATGAAGGAAATCGCGAAATCACGCGCCGCCTTTCTCCGTGAATATTTTTTGCTGGAGGTCGGGTTATGAAATGAGCAGTAAAGAATTTTGATTTATTCACAGACTGAGATGTAACGTATTGGAGGTTACGAAGATATGTGGTGAGAAAACGACGTGGACTTGGACGACTCCGAAAGCTGCGAATGGAACACCGAAGCAAATGCCTAATCCTGACCCGCTTCTTTCCTCTTTCACCACCACCATGTCTTCTCCGATTTTCTGGTACCATCTCGTTCGTGCAAGTCCTCACTGTCGGTATTTCAGATATACCAGAACCTTCAAGATCTTAGCATGATAGGATTTGTTTATGGCCCTAGAACAAAAGTGCGAGGTAGCTCATGGCTGTTTTTGTAACTGTGGCTGATCCTTTCTCAGAATGATGCAGAATCCTTTGGTCCACTATCACGGACGTCAAATATACCAACAGCAAAGTCTTACTCGAGGCCACAAAGCCCTTCCGAAGACAGTCATCGTGCTCCCTTGGAATCTCACTTGTTCTTATTTACCTCGGCATAGGCGAATCGAGAAACATGTGTGGTATATCGGTACACTTTTCACGAGGAGACTGTATTTTTGCGTGTCTTGAAAATATTGAACAACCAAGAAAGATATGATTAGCATAGCGGAGAACATGATAGAGAGACACCGTAATTCAATGGTATGTTTTTCTTTCATCTTTCTCTAAGCTTTTGTTGAAGGTATTATTCAGAAGTTCGACTACCACTGGAAAAAAGAGATGTTTGCGGGGCCCGGTGATCTGGATGCGGTTGGTATCATTCGCGTACGTGATATCATTAATGAAAAATTGAGTATTTCTTCATGTCGTCGGACTCATAAGAGTGTAAAGATGTGCGACCCATCATCATGTCAATTTTACATCATCCTTTGCGAAGGAGTGACAGGATCTCCACGTTGCAGATATCGGTATTCCTAGGGGTTGAAACATGCAGGATAATATAAATATGCGAGCAGAGAAGACGGGGAAAGGGAATCTCTGAAGAGTCTCCAGAGTGACGGGTACCACGAGGACACTAGAATATATGAGTGAAGACCGGCGGCACAAAGAGGAAGCAGATGGCAAAAGAGATCGACAGCGAAGCAAGCCTCTAGTCGGAGTTGCTGTCAGATTCGTCGCATTTACACATGTAGGTAATTAAGGATATCACCATCTGTTTCTTTATCTCACCCTACTAGCAGTGACCCGTGCGATGCCCCGGTGATTTTTGGTTGAAGGTATAAATGATCACTGAGCAGAAATAGGTATCCTTGCATCTTGCACATAAAGTAAGAGGTTGACTCGACACTGTAGTGCCACGCCTGCGACATCACGACCGCACACCCAACAAGACCCGAACACATGGCATACTCGCAAAACTCTCGACGGCCTTGGCCAATTGCAGAACCCACTCAATTAGCGCTGGACTTAGCCCAACACGGGGAACAAAAACACTTACTGTAGATGATAAGTCCTCGCTCATACCTTGCTATGGGCTTTCTGTGGAATGTCATTATTAGTGAGGGTCACAGTTCAGCAGTGATTATGGTTGAAGGCATCATCGACCCGTAGTCGACTCGTAATTGCAGAACCGACTCCGGAATCGGTTATGCAGATGCGCTCGATGATGGTTATACCCACGATTATCACCCCATAATCGACCAATCCTGATCCTCGCCATTATTAGTTCTGACGGCGTCTAGCATGCTGTTTACGCGAATACTTTGCACAGCCCATAGATTCAACCTCCGAGTTGCAACACCTGCCTGCCTTGATGCAAATACACCTTGATTCCGCAATCCTTTGACTGCAATCTAGAAATTGGGAAATAGTACGTATTGTTAAGCTATTTCGTTTCGAGTACTCAGTACGACGACCTTAGCACCATCTAGAATTATTGGCCTACTTTTGAGCGGTGTCAAGTCAATTTGGATTCACTTACGCTCCGTCTTTCCGAATTCATCGATGAAGGATTCATCTCCTGATGCAATACCTGATTCTGACCAGAATGCCAACATAATTCCGCCTTCAGAGTCTGAAGGGGCGATACCTCATGCCAGTTCTACTGCAGAAGGTGAAGGCCCTGTCTTGGAGGTAACGACACACTCGCCGCCCCACTTGAGCAGTGCAGAAACAGCTTCAGAACTCCTGAGCTGCGATTCTCATTTTGTATTCCCAAACCCTCAGGCCCAGGAGGTAAGCCGGTTAGCAAACAAACAGAGAAGAGTCTGTTAACATGTTTTCAGGACCTCACTTTCCCCGTAGTCACCATTTCTGCCTTCACTGAAACGGGCCAACAGGAGTCGTCGATCAAAGTTCCACTGCAACGATCGTACACCGGTGAAGAGTCCGTAATATCATCCTCCCTCGCCGACACTCCATGCGCTACCCTCGGTGTTATGGGCCTCTTAGATCAACTGAACGCCACCCTCGGAACATCATATACCCTGGACACTCCATCCATGTCCTCCACTCTCGAAGACTGCATCATGAACAACTACGACTTTGGCACTGCATATGGCCGTCTCCGCGCGGTATGGGGCACCGAAGACTGGAATGCCATCCAAGATGAGCTACGTTCACGTGAAGCTCGGGACCAGGAGATGCGACGAAAAGCACTTGTTGGTAACCAGATTGTCAACCCGGATTTGGGACCTCGACGGGTCTGGGATCTATACGCTAATCGGGTGGTGCCATGGTGGAGCAGTGGCGCGTTTCTATACCCGGTCTCGTGGTTAAGCGGTATGCGGACTCTTCGGCCGGTATCGCATGCGTGGATGGACGCGAAGGATCGCGTCCCCGTCTGGACGCCTATCAATGGGATGGAATGGCCCGTACCCATCCCAAAAGATGCCAGCCTTGACCTCATCCGCATCGAGATGCTGAATCTGGGAGCGGAATACACATGGTTGGATGTCCTCTGTTTGAGACAGGAGGGTGGGCCAAGGGAGGACCTGCGTGCAGAAGAGTGGAAGGTCGATGTGCCCACTATCGGACGTGTGTATGCGAATGCCAAAGTCGCGATCTACCTGAGTGGGCTGGGGCGGCCTTTTACTTTGAACGACGGTGACTTGGACAATGATCGCTGTTGGTTTAGACGCGCGTGGACACTACAGGAGATTGGCAAGGAGAGGATCATTGTCGGGGATACACCTGATGGACCGCTGCATGCGAAACCAATAGACAAGGATGGGAACTATGATACTGAGATACTGACTAGGTTTCACAAGCAGCTGCGGTCCATCACCACTGTCCATCATCTGAGTTGGGGGCTGTTAATCTCCCTCGTGATGTTTGAGATCCTGTCAGAGATGCAGAACCGGGTATCCACCAATCCTGTGGACAAAGTTGCGGGACTGGCATTCCCTCTGTTCCCCACGACGATACCGGCATATAGTGAGAGCGAATCTCTCGAAGATGCATGGACGGAATTAGTGAATGCAATGTCTGTGCGGAATCGGGGTGAGCTGTTCTTCTGGTATCCTGAACCAGGAGATACAGGCACGAAGTGGAGACCCTCTTGGGAGCAGGTCATGAAGGCGTCTTTGCCTGTGGGCAACTACTCCTGGATGAGAGTTGATTGGGATGGGGAGACGAATGATAGCTGGTATGAAGGGCCCTGCATCGAAAAGGTATCTGTGCGAGGGTTGGCTGCGGGAGGTGCGGCAGAGATTGATCGATGTGGCGAGTTGATCATTAAAGATGCCAATGGGGCAGAACATACATTCGACATCATTGCACGCCACAAGTTCCCAATACCTGAAGATACATACACATTGCTTGGTACGAATCCAGGACTTCTCGGACTGATTCTGAAGCAATATTTGGTCGTCGGGCGAAGACTGTCTGACGAAAAGTTTGAGAAAGTGTCCGTGTTTGAAATGGTCGATAAAGAAGTATGGAGGCTGAAGCGTCTGGGTATTACTAAAAAGTGTCGGAATATTCTTATTTGAGGTGAGTACATATGTTGTGGCTGTTCTAGATTAGGACCGTTTCTCACCTCGAGTATACATCAGGCCCATTCATAGTTCGCTGCACATATATGATGGTGCATCCTATCCATTGAGTTACTCGCAAATGAAATATAATTAGCATTCTCCACCATATGCATTCTTTTGCTATACACCAATGAAAATTGATGTCGCTACTCTTCCTACTCTTGCTAACTGATATGCAGAAACAGCATATTTGCGTTATAAATTAAGAAGGTGTGTAGAAATTGGTGACGATAGTAAGACGCCAGGGTTATGGTGTTGATCCCTATCATCATAACAGCGACTCTCCCCCATCATTTCTTGCAGCCGCCTTCATCATGATCCAATGTCAACCACTGTCTATGACCAGGTCAATGATTTCAAGACATTTGATAAAATCAGGACACTTTCGGCAGGGATCGTTGTCGCCTGGTCGAAATGGGACTGGGTACCAGCAGCGGACACAGTTTAAGGATCGTGGCCTTGACAACTGACCAGTACTTCACCTGCTCAATCACAGGTAGTAGCGATACACCTGGTTCCTTCTGCTCTCCTCGAAAACATTAAAATGACAGACACAATCCCGGAAGGAGGCAGCCTCTACCAATGGAAAGCTTACGCCAAATTGAGACGGAGCGACTCATAGAATTTGCGATTTGTATGAGCCGACTTTGCATTTTCTGCTTCACAAAGTTAAAACTCTGGCTGCACTCAGGGACGACGCGTTATGTCAGCATCTGCATTGTTCCCTTCTTGGTCCATTTCTGACTAGGATAAAAGGCGTAGCCTTCATTTGTAGGGGATTCGATGGTATGACGCGCAGCTCAAACTATTTTAGTTTTCCCGCGCGACTCTGAACAGGGCTCACAAGTACTTACCACTGCGATCTCCGCAGATTGAGATCGGCAAGGTTGCTCGTAGCTACACGTGAAAGCTTCGCCTCGCCACTGCTCTCTTATTTGTCATCATACAAGTCTCGTGTACCCCAAGGTAGAACAGACTCGTGTCCAAAGTAAGAAGATGACTCTACCAGCCCTTGGCAGGGAACATTTGTGTCAAATACGGTACGGTATGCTCTTTGCACGGTTTCAGTGATTGCATTGTCGGACGAGGAAGGTGCAATGACGGCGACAGTGAACAAGGGGGGGCGGGGGTGCTAGCATCAAGGTCACATATCACTAACACCAGCGGGAGAGGGGGCGATGCGCAACGTATTTTCGCCTGTCGTCGTTGTATCACGATGAAGGTCTCCGAGTCGGCAATTGCCTTTCGACCTCACGTCGATCGAGTGTAAGTGCGCTTCAGATCATCCAGGTCAAGCTGAAAGAACACGAGTCAATATAAATAATCGAGCGGGCCATCTTCGTACGTACCGATAGCTCGTCGGCGAAGGAAAAAAAAATATGCTGGAAGAGTCGATGTTGGTGAGACGCAAGGCGAGTACGCACGTCCTTATTGAGCGCCTGGTCGATCAGCTTCGGCGGCGCATCGAGGAAATGGATCTTCCTCCATCGATTCCGTCCGTTAGACTGTTGTCCGAACCTGAGATGAGGTTTTCGTTGTCCCAGCGGTCGCGATCCGCTTCATGGCTGTTTCGCGTCTGCAATGTCCACTCCTTCGCGACCATCCGAGTCCAGGATCATTTTTTATGTTCGAGGATAGTCTGAAGTACACGCACACAAATCTGATGGAGCAAAAAAGAAAGTCCTCGTTCAATGCAAATATAGTATAGAGTCAATAAATAAATAATACGATGCAATTAGAATATTGCTCTAACCAGGCCACCACCGATAGCAGCACCAGCACCGAATCCTACACCTCCAGCTGCAGAGTGGGCCATCTAGACAACACATAAGAAAATCCCGACCCCTAAAATGAAAGACCCAACGCACCGTATTACCGTACTTGCCAAACTTGCTCTTCTTCCCATCCTGACCCGCGTCCTGCTGAAGGCCAACGGAGTTCGTACCTGCCCCGGGAGGTGGGGGGGCGTTGGCGCTTGAATGAGCAGCCATGAACGGCTTGTACTCTTTCTTCTCTGTGGGAGCTGGAGGTACGGAGCGAACACCGGTCGGTGGGGTGAACGCAGGAGGTAGGGTCCGGGGAGCAGGCGCAGGCGTAGGTGCTGGTGCGATCTTCTCGACGTAGTTAGATGGGAAGAGAGCCCTACGGCCGCCATACTCCCCGAGCCACCAGTCGGCGTTGGTCTCTTCGACGATGGTAATGATGTCCCCAGCTGCGAATGAGAGGTCGTCGTGGTCAGAGGCGTCGAGGTTGTATGCCCACAAAGCTTTGGCTTGCACGACCGCTGGTGCCGCTGGTGCTGGTGCTGGTGCTGGTGGGGGCAGGGAGGGCAACCTAAAGGGGGTCGAGCGAACAGGCGCCGGTGTCGAGTCCGTCGTTGATTGGAGAGAGGACAGTTTTCTCTGCAGACCGGCAGCATCTGCTTGGGTGACGTACCCGTTGGTGACAAGGAAGTCGATGTTCGAGGCCGTCTGCGAGGCGGTGTGAGTAAGGGCGAAAATGGCGGAAAGAACTCTTGTTTTTCTTCTCCCTCACTCTCCACTGTACGCAACATTCACTCATTCGTTGATGCTAGGTGTGACGTAGAACCGGAATGTTGCGAAACAGGTGCGGGAGGAAGTAAAGTGATAGTATGTGCTGGGAGAGGCATCACCGATGTTGGCAGCGCAATTGTACCATATGATACATGCGCTCTCTCCTTCTTGCTTCATTCCTCGCCAATGGAGATAGACAGAATTGAAGAATTGAACGTAACAATAAAGAAGCACCGCGCATGATGGTCAAATGGCTTTGGGAATCATTGGAAAAAGCGGAGGGATGGAATATTGATGAAGATGGTTTGAGCATCAAATTCCTCATGACACGCGTCGATATCTACCATCACGAGTGGGATGTAATGAAGAATCTTGTTCGTCACAGAGATACGCTAGCGAAAATATCAGTCAGCTGGGACTAATCACAAAAACTAAAAGATACACACCGATGTCCCTAGGACTTGCATTCCGGGTAAATCGCTTTGATCCTGGTTACTCGCCGGATAATACATTGGAAGCTGCACACTCGAATTAGAAAAGAAACGGCAGATATTCTGGCTACGCACCAAGAACCTCTCTAGAAGGTAACGACATTGTCTACCGCCAAGTGCTTCATGTCAGCGGACAGGGTCTCTTCGTTGCTTGCTCATTATCGAAGGAGAAGGCCGTTATGGAAGCAGTGGTCTTGGTATAGACGCCCCGTCGTCATCGTGGTCAGAGGTCAAAGCCGATATCACACAGCCACCATCCACCTTTGCCTGTTACGATCACCACGTCCGACAACGAAGAGGGATATTTGTTCTGGATCCATTACTCGAGTTGGAGACCTCCCTCGTTTCTGCCGTTGTCTGCGAAATTTTTTACTTCTCCCCGTGAGGCGGCGTAAAATGGAAGACCAGGCCTCGCTTTGTACCCTCGTCGCGCAAGTGACGGATGCATTTTCTCCTTCTCCTGCCCTCGTGTTGCCTTCAAGAAGCTAACGTACAGGCCTCGACGTGCGAATTACGACAAGTCAGTACTGGCCGTTAAAAGGCCAGCCAACCACAAATTACTCCTTCATCACAAACAACGATGTCTGCTCGCACCGCTACTCCGTCTATCTTCGGCGCACCCAACGAGTCCGCCGAGTCTTCTGGTCGTGCCCTCGGCAGCCCCAACACTGGACTCGGAAGGGGTGGTGTCGGCAAGCAAAAGGAGGCTCTGAAGCTGCGCTTGGACCTCAACTTGGAGGTGGAGATCGCCATCCAGGCCAAGGTCAATGGTGATATCACGCTTTCCCTCCTGTGAGGACACTGTTGGATTTTGCTTGACTTGGTCTGATGGATGTTTGTGTAGCGAGTGATTGAATGATCTCGACGGCTATTTTACAGTATGGATGTTCGTACATGCTACGGTACGTTCTTCACTCGTGGTTCGTGAATTTGATGCTCACTGACTCCTTAGGATGGTCAGTATTGGGTTCCGTACTGGACGGTAGAGAATGTCGCGTATATGGACTTGCGACGCTGTATTTTTTCTCTACCCCAATTCATTGCACTGTTCTATGCTTTCCTTTGGTATGAGTGAGCGAGTCCCTGTGAATTTGGTTTGTCGTGGTATAGCAAAGAGCAGTTGATAGACAACACCCTTTTTTCTAGGAGAGCTAGGTTGTTCGAGATTTCATATTTTTTAAAGGTTTAAGCTGCTGTTTCTTTACTTGTTCTAAGTTTCCTCGGCATCCAATTAGATTGCGTGATTTGAAGCCCGAGTTAGCCGGTCGGAAATGATGAAACGTTCACTGCCCTTCCCTGCTCTTTCACCACGACGACGATGGAGACGACCCTCCTCACTCACATCGTCTCACAGACGGCCTCGAACATCGACTTCCTTGTCACCAACGGGTACGTCACCCAAGCAGATGCTGCCGGTCTGCAGAGAAAACTGTCCTCTCTCCAATCAACGACGGACTCGACACCGGCGCCTGTTCGCTCGACCCCCTTTAGGTTGCCCTCCCTGCCCCCACCAGCACCAGCACCAGCACCAGCGGCACCAGCGGTCGTGCAAGCCAAAGCTTTGTGGGCATACAACCTCGACGCCTCTGACCACGACGACCTCTCATTCGCAGCTGGGGACATCATTACCATCGTCGAAGAGACCAACGCCGACTGGTGGCTCGGGGAGTATGGCGGCCGTAGGGCTCTCTTCCCATCTAACTACGTCGAGAAGATCGCACCAGCACCTACGCCTGCGCCTGCTCCCCGGACCCTACCTCCTGCGTTCACCCCACCGACCGGTGTTCGCTCCGTACCTCCAGCTCCCACAGAGAAGAAAGAGTACAAGCCGTTCATGGCTGCTCATTCAAGCGCCAACGCCCCCCCACCTCCCGGGGCAGGTACGAACTCCGTTGGCCTTCAGCAGGACGCGGGTCAGGATGGGAAGAAGAGCAAGTTTGGCAAGTACGGTAATACGGTGCGTTGGGTCTTTCATTTTAGGGGTCGGGATTTTCTTATGTGTTGTCTAGATGGCCCACTCTGCAGCTGGAGGTGTAGGATTCGGTGCTGGGGCTGCTATCGGCGGTGGCCTGGTTAGAGCAATATTCTAATTGCATCGTATTATTTATTTATTGACTCTATACTATATTTGCATTGAACGAGGACTTTCTTTTTTGCTCCATCAGATTTGTGTGCGTGTACTTCAGACTATCCTCGAACATAAATGCCAAAGAATCGCTCTCTTGACCCACGAGGAACTTTTGGTCGGACACAAATGTTCCCTGCCAAGGGCCGGCAGAGCCATCTTCTTACTTTGGACACAAGTCTGTTCTGCCTTGGGTGCACGAGACTTGTATGATGACAAATAGGAGAGCAGTAGCGATGCGAAGCTTTCACGTGTAGCTACGAGCAACCTTGCCGATCTCAATCTGCAGGGATCGCAGTGGTAAGTACTTGTGAGACCTGTTCAGAGTCGCGCGGGAAAACTAAAATAGTTTGGGCTGCGCGTCATACCATCGAATCCCCTACAAATGAGGGCTACACCTTTTATCCTAGTCAGAAATGGACCAAGAAGGGAACAATACAAACGTTGACATAGTGCTGCAATTGAGCAGGTGAAGTACTGGTCAGTTGTCACGGCCACGATGCTTCAACTGTGTCCGCTGCTGGTACCCAGTCACAGTTTGAGCATGCGACGACAATTCCCGCCGAAAGAATCCTGATTTTACGAAATGTCTTGGACTCATTGACCTCGTCATAGACAGTGGTTGACATTGGACCATGATGAAGGAGGCTCCAAGAAATGATGAGGGAGAGTCGCTGTTATGATGGTAGGGATCAACACCATAAGCCTGGCGTCTTACTATCGTCACCAATTTCTACACACCTTCTCCATTTATAACACAAATATGCTGTTTCTGTGTATCAGTTAGCGAGAGCAGGAAGAGTAGCGAAACCAGTTTTCATTGGTGCGCAGCAAAAGCATGCAAACGGTGGAGAATGCTAATTATATTTCATTTGTGGGTACCTGAATGGATAGGATGTACCATCGTATATGTGCAATGAACTATGAATGACCTGATGTATACTCGAGGTGAGAAATGGTACTAATCTAGGACGGCCACAAAATATGTACTCACCTCAAATAAGAATGTTCCGACACTGTTTAATAATGCACAGATGCTCCATCCTTTGTGCTTCTTCATAGACCATTTGAAACACGGACACTTTCTCAAACTTTTCGTCAGATAGTCTTCGCCCGACAACCCAATATCGTTTGGGAACCAGTTGGAGATCGAATCCATCCGTACCAAGCAATGTGTAGATGTCTTCAGGTATCGGGAACTTGTGACGTGCAATGATGTCGAATGTATGTTCCGTCAGATTGGGATCTTTAATGATCAGCTTGCCACGTCGCCTAACCCCTTCCACACTTCGCGCGGCCAATCCTCGCACAAGTACCTTTTCAATGCAGGGCCCTGCATGCCAGCTATTATTCGTCTCCGCATTCCAATCAACTGTCAAAAAAGAGTAGTTTACCGCAGGCAGAGGTGCTTTCATGACCTGCTCCCAAGAGGGTCTCCACTTCGTGTCTGTATCTCCTGGTTCAGGATACCAGAAGAACAGCTCGCCCCGATTCCACACAGACATTTCATTCACCAATTCCGTCCATGCATCTTCGAGAGATTCGCCCTCTCGGTATGTCGGTATCGTCGTGGTGATCAGAGGGAATGCTAGTCCCGCGATTTTGTCCACAGGATTGGTGGATACCCGGCTCTGCATCTCTGACAGGATCTCAAACGTCACGGAGACTGACAGCCGCGGACGATAGACAGTGCTGATGGACTGCAGCTGCTTGTGAAACCTAGTCAGTATCTCAGCATCATAGTTCCCATACTTGTCTATTGGTTTCGCATGCAGCGGTCCATCAGGTGTATCCCCGACAATGATCCTCTCCCTGCCAATCTCCTGTAGTGTCCACGCGCGTCTAAACCAACAGCGATCACTGTCCAAGTCGCCCTCCTTCAAAGTAAAGGCCCGCCCCAGCCCACTCAGGTAGATCGCGACTTTGGCTTTCACATACACGACTCCGATAGTGGGCACATCGATCTTCCACTCTTCTGCACGCAGGTCCTCGCTTGGCCCGCCCTCCTGTCTCAAACAGAGGACATCCAACCACGTGTATTGCGCTCCCAGATTCAGCATCTCGATGCGGATTCGGTCAAGGCTGACATCTTTTGGGATCGGTACGGGCCATTCCTTCCCATTGATAGGCGTCCAGACGGGGACGCGATCCTCCGCGTCCATCCACGCATGCGATACCGGCCGAACATTCGTAGTTGACGGGATCATGGGTAGAGACGCATTGCTGCTCCACCATGGTACCACCCGATTAGCGTATAGATCCCAGACCCGTCGAGGTTCCAATTCCGGTCTGACAATCCGGTTATCGACAAGTGCATTTCGTCGCTTCTCCTGGTCCCGAGCTTCGCGTGTACGTATCTCATCTTGGATGGTATTCCAGTCTTTGGTGCCCCATACCGCGCGGAGACGGCCATATGCAGTCCCAAAGTCGTAGTTATTCTTGATGCAGTCTTCGAGAGTGGAGGACATCGATGGAGTGTCCAGGGTGTGTGATGTTCTGAGGGTGGTGTTCAGTTGATCTAAGAGGCCCATAACACCGAGGGTAGCGCACGGAGTGTCGGCGAGGGAGGATGATATTACGGGCTTTCGACCGGTGTAGGATCGTTGGAATGGAACTTTGATCGACGACTCTTCTTGGCCCGTTTCAGTGCAGGCAGAAATGGTGACTACGGGGAAAGCGAGGTCCTGAAAATATATTAACAAACTCTTCTCTGTTTGTTTGCTAACCGGCTTACCTCCTGGGCGTGAGGCTCTGGGAATATAGAAACCGCCTCAGAATCGCAGCTCAGGGGTTCTGGAGCTGTTTCTGCACTGCTCAGGTCAGGCGGCGAGTGTGTCGTTACCTCCAAGACAGGGCCGTTACTTTCTGCAGTAGAACTGCCATGAGGTATCGCCTCTTGAGACTCTGAAGGCGGAATTATGTTGGCATTCTGGTCAGAATCGGATGTTGCATCAGGAGATGAATCCTTCATCCATGCATTCGAAAAGACGGAGCGTAAGTGAATGCAAATTGACTTGACACCGCTCAAAAGTAGGCCAATAATTCTCGATAGTACTAAGGTCGTCATACTGAGTACTCGAAACGAAATAGATTAACAATACGTACTATTTCCCATTTTTCAGATATGCAGTCCAGGGTTTATGGAATCTAGGTGTATTTGCGTAGAGGCAGGCAGGTGTTGCAACTCGCAGGTCGAATTCTACGGGGTAAAGCGAGGGATTCGTGTAACTAGCGTGTTAGAAGCCAACGACATCCTGCATGTTTCGGGCCCTGCAAAAAGCATGCGGGTACACGCGGAGATCACCGCGTCGACTCCATCCTGTCACTCCTTCACAAAGAGCGACATACAAGACAGATTTTGTATCGATGATGGGCCGCACACCTGTATACTCTTGTGAATCCGACGTCAGGAAGAAATACTGAAATTTTCATTAATGATATCACGTACGCATATGATACCAACTGCATCCAGATTACCGGACCCCGCAAACGTCTCTTTTGTCCAGTGGTGGTCGAACTTCTGAATAATACCTTGAACAAAAGCTTAGAGAAAGATGAAAGAAAAACATACCATTGAATTACGGTGTCTCTCCATCGTGTTCTCCGCTACGCTAAATACGTCTTTCTTCGTTGTTCAGCCACACTGAAGCCCCATGTATGTCGTTTTGGGAAAATGACTGCTCCTGCAGTCGTGCGTGGACACAACCGAAGGCCTTGAGCCAGGTATTGGAACATCGTAGGGCATGCTGGTGCCGTGAACACGATGGATTGCTATAGCACGAGGACCTGTCGTACCGGAGTCAGTCAAAAATGAAGGAAAATCGGAAAGTCACCTACACCAAAAGCCTGTTTGAACTTGGGAGAAGGTTTTTCTGAACTCGAAGAGGGCTAGATTGGGTGGTCAGGTTGGAAGGGGGACAAGATCTGGAAGAGGCGACTGGATGATAGTTGGAGGGCAATGAGGAGAGCGAGCGAAGGGTGAGGAAAAATTGATACAAGGATGTGACAGCATTATTGGCAACCAGAGCTGGCAGTCATGGTCAGTTGCAGTTCTGTAATCGCCAGTAGAAGATAGTCGTAAGCACAAGTGTCTTATATCATGCGGCATTAGTATTAAAGATAGTGATTCAATTGAAGGTAGTGATATTGTGGCAGTGATAATGAAGCCAAGGAAGGCGAAGATACTAATAGAGAAGACGTAGTTTAGGGGTGAGCGGCAAAGACGGCAAGCGCCGTCGGCCATATTCGGCCTGCCATGACTTTTGAACAAACATCGCGACACACAGAATGCTCATCATGCCGGCTGTTTTATTTTGAACTCGTTTTCTTCCAGTGGATCACCGACTATCTGATTTTATTCAAGCTTTATGCAGCCCAAATTTTCATTGCTGCCCTTCCTGTCATCGTTCATTGCAACAAAGATACGGCCTTTCTCCTGTGCACGTGCAGCACATCGAGGACCAGGTTCTCAAGGGAAATTGGAAACGCACGCGGCTTTGGGTGAAGGTTATCAATGTCCGGATAGGTATCCTTCTGAAGCCAAGCGAAGGTGTGTGTCGGGTTTCCTTCCAAGCCACTTTAACTTGAACATCTATAGGGACAACAACAATCGAATATGGACTACCTGGGATATTTCAGCATCCAGTCACAGGCCAGCAGCTACAAGCGCAAATTTCTGATTACGACCTTGGCCCATCCTTATGATATTCGGATATTACTCGACCTCTTCTCTTCTCTGCGACCGTGGATAGGGAGAAGACGTGAAGAGTTCACCACGTAGCCTCTCCCTCTTACATGTCACACTTGTGGGGATAAATGAAGTCGGTGGTAGCATGGCGACAGCTCTGAGTGATTCACGAATGCCAGACCATATTTTACTCAGTTTTCTGTATATCTTATCGTCGTGAAGGTTAAGGTCTATGGTTGTGAGACCGAGTCGATCCTCACATGAACCTTCCAGATGCATTCGGTCCAAATCAAACCAGTGAGCCCTCTCTTTCTTTTTGGCAAACCCATCTTTTGAAACTTGGCAATGTATCTTCAGCCCCAAGGAATTGTCTATTGTCTCGCTGTCAGCCAATATTTTCTGCCACTTGCCAAAACGACTTCCCGCTTTGTCTGTCGTTCCACGACCAACGTATCCTTTTTCAAGTTATATGTACCCTGGAAAGTCCCCTGCCGGTCTGCATTTGTATTGATAAACTGCTGTGACAGACGAGATGTTGGAAAAGAACAAATAGACGCGATATGTCACGGCCACGTGAGCAGAATAACGGTCTCTCCGACTCACACTCCCTTCGCCGCCGCCGTTCCCAATCCGATCTACAGGATATCGTGTCTCACTCTTAGGGCCCCAACTACAATGGCATCTTCCTTCTCGACTGGCAGCAGTTAACATGCTTCAAGAGGCCATTGACTATCTTCCCACCTCCAATTCAATCGTGCAGTAGGCAGTTCGACATGGACATCAATACTGCGTCTAACGTTCCAGGGTGCAGAGGCCATACCATGCTATTCTCGTCCTCGGGCTTGAAACCGGTCTCTGTACTTGGCAGCGAGCATACTACATCTCGTATTCTCCCACCGTCTCTTACTCAAACAGAGAGCTCACAGAGATATCAATCGCCTTCCTTGCGGGGAGTATCCTCTCCCTGTTAGCAGTGCTCGTTTTACATCCGACCACGCCAATTCTCACGGCTATTGACACCATTATGGCTAACGACGAACACCGAGGATGGCATCCCTCATGAACGCAGATAAAACCATTCCCGGATGATCGTAAAGAGAGTCAAAGAATATTTCGTTCCCGAAGATTAGGACGTTGCTCTATGAGCTGTTATCTCGTGCTGCACGCTCGTCTACTTTTGTCGCGCAGCCAGTGGTAGAGCGCAGCATTTGACATCTACGGAACTCGCATCGCCAGTGTGAGAATGCAGCGAACAAGCCAGACGGTAAATGGTGTCACGTGGACTGGTCTTTGTTGCGCGCCTAAGATCCGCCCCCCCTGTCTTTGTCCCTCTGCGCGGACCTACTTAAAAACAATCTGATCGTCATCCACTGCAACCATTCCCGCTCTCCTTCCACCATGAATGGACCCGGCCATCCTCTCTCCCACCAATCTGGTGCGAGCCAACTTTTCCCTGCGAATTCTCCAGCGTTTACTTCGACGTCTCTCACTTCGGCGCCAGCGTACGGAGCAGTCACAAATGTCCAGACTCATCGCAGAATACAAGATTCTAGTGGGATTCAAATGCCTGCTCCATCTATGCCTCCCGAAACATCCTCGACCTCACAGTTGCCTTCAGGCTGGAGCACGCCATTGAGACAAACGAGCCGCTCGTGCCGCTATGGCCGCAAAAGGTTCAGGTGGCGGTTCTCCTGCCCTATCCGAATGATGATCGCTGTCCACGAAGAATTACCGTTCCAACCGCAATCGCAAGGATCTTGGTTAGTGCCTCTTCACCGAATCCAAGCTAGAGCTCATCTTATCACAGCCCGCGCGCACGGAAACTCAGCATATATCAAAAAGAGACGTTCCTGGTGTCGCAGAACGGTCCCGAAGTGAGCATCCTGAAAACGTTCGAGAGCCCGCTGTATCGGTTCAGCCAGAACGATGCGACACGGAGGTGACTTTTCCTCAGGTGCGAGCCCTGGGTTGATGCGGACAGGATCGAACGGGACAAGGTGGTGTATTTGGGATGCGGGTGCAATGTCTCTCTTGAGAATGTTGAGTATAATCTGGGTAACTGGATGCGCCACTGGGATTGGTGTGTTGGTATCGAGAATGCGATTTTGAGTTCTGTGCTGGATGCTTGGGGAATTCGGACTGCAAATTCTTCTGTGGGGCGACCGTGATGCTCTTAGTCTAAATACTGTATATTTTTGACCTGGGGAGCTGTTACTGTTAACGAACAAAGAGCTGTCGCAATGTATTACCTTGGCATCACTATGACCTCAAGATATCTGAGAAGTTAGTTTCCCACTGTCGTTATTTGCCGGTCCTCTTTGTCTGCTCGTAAAGGTGGCGCTCAATCACTGGAAATATCCTCACATTTTGGTCGATATAGTACTTCTGCGATGGCCCATGTATTTGATTTGACACACCGCCGGCAAGCAACGTGCGCCGGTTTTTGCCCAAGGACATTAACCATGGATATAACCAAGTTCACTCTCATAGGATCTAGGTCGGTAATTATGGTATTACTGTTAATGCCTATGCTCCAGGTTTGTCTATAATATTTCATGTATTGAATTGCTTTGATCCTAATGTGTGGTTAGTCCAATGACAGCAATATTCACTATATCCATGTCGAACCCTTCTTTCAGAAAGGGTAGAATGAATTCGGAAGCAGACGGTGCAAAGAACACGATCTACCATGGCCCCGTCGGTCTCTCCTTCAAACGTTGAGAGAATGTCGAGCTGATAGCCTTCCCGACGACATAGAACAGTCATTCTGTCACTGAAACTGAGAACACAATTCGACCAAGTGAATGCGACATGTACCGTTCTTGGGTGCATCGTTCGCCTTGTGTCAGGCCTCGCATGAGCGTGCGCTGATCATGACAACTCCATCGAAATCGCCCTGTGCCGTTACAGATGCGAGTTCATTGATATTCATGAGCACGGTCTCGAGCACTGGAATCGAGAAAGGGGTGTTGTTTGCTGCAGTAAAGATGGCTCCATTCCGGTCCTGGCCACTATCGGAGGACGGTGTAGGTTCGCGAAGGAGGAGAACGTTGGCCCTGGACGTCATCGTGGTCAGCGACACCATGGGTAATGTGACCATTGAACATTAACCATCACCTAGGACATCGCCCACTTTCTGCCCCAATACCAAGCACGATTCCGATACTAGAGATAAGGACTGCCTTCTACTGGCTGGCTATGCTGGTATCCACAGTGGAAAGAGTCTGCTCACGATGCGGCCGTAGCCTAATTCCTCAGACGAAGAACGCGATGCTAAACATCAGCGGATCAGCTCTCCAACGTCTACATTCGCTGAGGACGACTATACAGCCGCATACATCGAAGATTGCCAGCTGCTTCTATCTGAGGTTTCAATTTTTGCGGAGGATAATTCAAGATATGGTGAGGTTGTCGTGTATGCCCACTATGCTTCACACTTACTGCATGCCATAGTGAAGTTCCATTCTTCAGTAATAATATCCTCGCAGAACATATGCAAATTTTTTAGGTTTAATAGTGATGGGATCTTTTCCAGATTTAAACGGAGTTGTTCAAGGCGACGGAGGTAACGGAGTGCTTGTTGTAAAGGTAGCTACAGCCATTGACATAAGTAAAAAGTATATTAGAAACCGTATGGCTTACCGCGAAACCTCAGCGTTTCTCAGGTGCATCATAACGGTTGAACTCCAATTCTCTCAAATACGGAGAGCACAACACGCCAGAAGATGCACTTCAACTTGTGAGGCCTGTTCAGAGTCGCACGGACAAACTAAAATAGTTTGAGCTGCGCGTCATACGATCGAATCCCCTACAAATGAGGGCTATGCCTTGTATCCTAGTCATAAATGGACCAAGAAGGGAACAATACAGATGCTGACATAGCACCTCGTCCTGAGTGCAGCCGGAGTTTTAACTTGTGAAGCAAGAAAGCCGGGAAGATTCCAAGGTCAGTTCATACAAATCGCAAATTCTATGAGTCGCTCCGTCTCAATTTTGCGTAAGCCTTCGATTGGTAGAGGCTGGCTCCTTCCGGGCTTGTGTCTGTCATTTTAATTTTTCCGAGGAAAGCAGAAGGAACGAGGTGCATCGCTACTACCTGCAATTGAGCAGGTGAAGTACTGGTCAGTTGTCAAGGCCACGATGCTTGCCTTGTGTCTGCTGCAAGTACCCAGTCCCATTTCGACCAGGCGACAACAATCCCTGCCAAAAGTGTCCTGAATTTACCAAATTTCTTGGAGTCATTGATCTGGTCATAGACAGTGGTTGACGATGGACCATGATGAAAGAAGCTCCAACAAATGATGGAAGAGAGTTGCTGTTCTGGTGGTAGGAATCAACACCATCAAGTTTGGCTTCTGACCATCAT